CACTCACAAGATATCTGTTGAGTAGTTTTGGGGGGGTCTAGGCAGCGGGAGATTCTATGGAGACCAAGATAGACACGGTTCCTGTTATTGGAGAGATTATGTTCTGGTGAAGGAGGCAAAGGATAAATAAATAAATATGATAATAAATAAATATCATTCGTGAAATAAGAAGTGAGATGAGCCAGAGAATCACCAAGGGCAGAGTTAGGGAAAGAATTTTGGATAGGGTAACTCTAAAAGTCCCATCTGAGGAAATGGCATTCAAGTTGACCAAATGATGAACAAGAACAAGAAAAGTTCCAGGCACAGAAAAACTACGGAATTCACCAGCAGGTACACATCTCCAAAGAAACAATGTAAACATTCCATTTTCTCTCCTAACAGCCTCTGGATACTCCCAGCCTGCTTTCAGTGTTGCAGAAAGAACTTCATGAGCTTCCTTGAGAGCAGCATGCACCATGCCTCACCACCCTCCTAGCCCTGGTATTTCACACAGCGCCTTGACATAGAGGGCACTCAAAAGATATTTGAAGGCCAAGCAAGTGAACAGATGAATGAAGGGTTTATCCACATGAATCTGGAAGGTTTTCTAAAAGAAATTTAAAAATGTGTGGTTCAGGGTGATGTCAGCAAAAATGGCAGAGTAAGGACTCCAAAAATTCCCTCTTTAAAATCAATGAGAAATCTGGAAAAAAATGGTCAGACTCAACCTTTTCAGAACTCTGGAAATTAACCAGAGGCTTGCAGCGATCCAGCGAGTGTTTATCCAAGAAAAATGGCTGATTCCTGGTACACACAGCAAGCTTAATGACATTTTTATTTGCCTGTGCCACCTGCTCTCCACAGCTCCACATAACCCCGAACACCAACAGCCGGCAGTCATATTGCAATCAGCAGCCCAACAGCCACCAGAGGGGATACAATAGTTGGAACTCTTCCAAAGCCTCATTCCTAGAAAATTCTCATTGTTTGAGGTGCCTGAAAGTTCCCTGGAAAATCCCACTTGCAAGACTGTCTTGATCTGACCTGATTTGAATCTCCCAGTGGGATAGTCTTTTCCTCGGGGGAGTTGGTTGAAAACTTGAAAGATTAACTGTTTAACTTGGCAGCTACCTGAAGCAATAGATAACAGTTGGGACCAACAACAAGTAAAACAAAATCATTAAAAAGCTAGAAAATGAGATGCCCTATGGGCTCTGAAGAGGCCTATTGCATTCCTAGAAATATTGAAGACTAAGGGCAATAATGAACAAATGCCCAGGGCTTTACTCATGCTCAGAAAAAATCTGAGAATGTCCCAGTGTCTCACCAAAGGCTGCCTTTGAGGCTCTGTGCCAGCAGGAAGTGAAAGCTAAGGCAGAGCTGTCAACTGCCTGGCGGAGCATTGGAGGTGAACCACAACACGCACACAGGATCCATTGGCAAGGAATGGGAGACTTGTTGGTTCCCAGTGTAAAGGAATCTCTGTCCAACTGTTCCACGAAACTAGCAAAGCAGAGACATAAGTGGCCACGTATGATAAAAAATACAAATTTGTTTTCAAAAGTCACTGAACAACAACAATAAGCAGCAAAAACAATAAATCCTGAGAATCTAATTTTCAGAGTTGCCACATTATATTAAAAATATGTAGTTTCAGCAAAAAATTACAAAACATGAAATAGTATGAAATAAGACATGAAACAAGAAAGTATAGACCATTCACTAAGGGGAAAAAAAACAGTAAATAGAAACTATCCCTGAAGAAAAAACAAATGTTGGGCTTACTAAAAAAAGACTTTAGATATTTTAAATATATTCAAAGACTGAAAGAAATCAAATCAAAAAACTAAGTAGAGAATATCAATACAGAGATAAAAATTATAAATAATAAGGATTAGAACTGAAATAAATTAAATAGAAACTAGAATATCAATGGAAAAACTAAAATCAAACAAACTCAACCAAAACTAAGTTCTGTGTAAACAATATTAGCAACTCTTTGGCTACACTGACCAAGGAAAAAAGAAAAAGAAAGGGCACAGATTACCAAAATGAAAATGGGAGATCTCCTTGTGACCTAACATAAATAAAAAAGGATTATGGGGAATACAATGAATAATTGTATGCCAACAAGTTAAATAACCTACATGCAATAGGCAAATTCCTAAAAAGGTACCAAACTGACACAAGAAGAAATAGACGATCTGAACAGTCCTGTAATAAGTGGAGAAATCAAATTTAAAAAACAACAACAATAAAAAAAGACAACCTTTCATGAAGAAAATCTCTAGCCAAAATTACTTCACTGGTGAATTCTACCATATGGTTAGCGAAAAATTAACATCAATCCTTCAAAACTCTACCAAAAAATAGAAGGGTAGGAAACATTTCTGAAATCATTCTGTACGGTTGGAATTATCCTAATACCAAAAACACACCAAGACATCACAAGAAAACCAGAGAGTAATAACCCTTACTTTTTAAAAAGATTTTATTTACTTGTTTTTAGACACAGCGAAAGGGAGGGAGAAAGAGGAGAGGAACATCAACATCAGAGAGAAACATCAATCTGTTGCCTCTTGTATGTGCCCCAACTGGGCACCAAACCTATAACCCAGGCATGTGCTCTAACTGGGAATCGAACTGGTGGACTCTCCCTTTGCAGTAAGATGCCAAACCAACTGAGCCTCCAGGCCAGAGCCAGACTAATATCCCTTATTAATGTCAATGTACAATTCCTTAACAAAATGCTAGCAAACTGAATCCAGCAATAGGCATATATAAAATTTATGCTTTATGGATTATTCACTGTGACTAAGTAGGATTTATGCCAGGCATATATGGATGGTTCAGCATATGAAAACCAACTTATTAAACATCACAATATAAAACATTATGTTAAGTGAAAGAAACCAGACACAAAGAACTGAGTATTCGATAGTAGCCTTTACCCTTAAATTCCTTTATAAGTAAGTTAGGCAAAGTGTCTGTGATGGGCTCTAGGAGTGAGTTTTGAAGCCAGAGATACAGAATTGAAAAGTCACAAAGATATCTCCAAGAAGGAATTGTAATCTTGTGAAAGAAAAGAGCATAAAGCCTTGGGTGGGGTAGCTCAGTGGATTGAGTACAGGCCTGGAAACCAAAGGGTTGCCGGTTCTATTTCCAGTCAGGACACATGCCTGGGTTGCAGGCCAGGTCACCAGTAGGGGGCATGTGAGAGGCAACCACACATTGATACTTCTCTCCCTCTCTTTCTCCCTCCCTTCTCCTCTCTCTAAAAATAAATAAGTAAAATCTTTAAAAAACAAAAAAGGAAAGAGCATAAAAATGGGAAAATGGCCATACTGACTCAGATTTTTGTTCCACGCACTCTAATGCTCTTCTTTGACAAGATCCTTGCACAGATGGACACATGGATATCTTCATCATATCGTCCTTCAAAGATCTGTGGTGTCCTCCTACAACGTCCAAATTCCTGACCTACTACCTGCATTGACCTGAATTGCTTCTGTAGAAGCATGGCAAGAAATGGTTGACATACTTTTTATAAACTTTCTTCAATTCTACAAGTCTTATACACTGAAAGCACTGATATAAACATAGTTATTACACTGGTACTACAATTTGAAGGAGCAATTTTCTGCCAAAGGAGAACAATAGGTTTTAAAAATAAACCAGAACATGGAGAAAGAGAAAACATTTTCTCTTTCTCTACTAAAACTGTGTTCAAAAGCTCAAGATTCAAACGTTGTAGAAATTTAGATTAAAATAATACTTGTGGCCTCGGAGTCAGATTTCCCACTTTATTCCCACAACTCCCGTCTGTACCTTTTTTATTTTCTAGAGAGCAAGAATTTGTGGAGCCCTCGGTCAGAAGGCTCTAGAAAGGGAATGGTAAGGGAGACTTTGTGTCAATTAAGGACGCGCTCACTCTTATCATTTGCAGGCACGCAGGCACGCACGTTCCCAGAGGTAAGCTGCACAAAGGCAGTCTTCTCGCAGGTGCACCCCAGTGCCCCACATCTAACCTGTTGGCATTGTTGGTACTCAGTGACTCTAACGCTCACCATTTCCATGAGGTGAGACCAGGCATCCACTCATTCACACTCCAGGCTCAGAACACTGTGGCTCAGATACTCGTGTTGGTCTGGCCAATTTGCTTTTGGTTTAACTAAGTAAGAAGCAGTTGAAAATAAATAAAACATTCCAAATAAAATGTTTCCAGCAATCATGAAGTGGGGAAGGATAAGTGTTCACTCTCGTCATACTTTTTGCTCTACTATTATATTGTTTTCTTCACTCCCTCCAAAGTAAGAATGCATAATTTCACGTATTAATTAAGGATTTTAAAAAATCTACTCCCAAAACAGGTCAAATTATGCTGAATAGGCAAGTAGTTTATCCCTCTTCCTTCGAGGTTACTTCTGCTTTTTAAAACAAATGACAAGGAAGGAGCTTAACATGTGAACCAGAAAGGGAAAGGCAGCAATCCCTATCTGTGCTTTCATCCCCCCAAATCTCTCACAATGGTAACTTTAAAAATAATTCCTTTGGTGGTAAAATGTTACCTAATCTCCCTACCCCACTAGCACTGTTACGTAATATATGCAATATGGACCATATTACTTTTATGAAATGTGGAAAATCCTGAATTCCAAAACTATGGACTTGTAGCTCAGTTGAAGTAAGGGGTCAAGAGATTAGCAGAAAAAGCCCTGCACATTAAATATTTATGTTTACGTAGGGAAGTTAGACAACTCACCATCTCCCCGGCATTTGTCATCATTTGGAAAATAAGGAAGTTAGGCAAGATGACCTCTAAAACCCTTGACAGTAATTAAATTCTAGGACTTTACCTGATCCATGTATATCCTATAACAACAAATTACTGGTATGTTCAACTTTGGACTATATTGAATTTCTACAGAATTATGGGTATTTGAATTTGCCTATGACATGTAACAAGCATACATTATTAGATGTCTCTTCAATTACATACTTTAATTCAGTTTTAGTACCTGGTATGCCAAACACAGATGATATGCCTTCCATAATGGTCTTGTGGATATTGGGTTGAGAGAGGACAAATCCAAGTGTCCAAAACACAATCTTAAAAAAAACAACACATATAAAAAAACCCAACTTTATTTCAAAGTAAGCAAAAGTGCACTTAGTATTAGAATCAAGCATTTAAAAGAAACAATGAGAATGTTTAAATTAAACTCAAAAGCATGTTAGTAAAGAGCATCTTTGAAAACACCTACATTTTATGAACAAAAGATATTATTTAGCTCTAAGAGGTTTGATTTATCATTTTATTCTCACTATAGTTTCACTATATTATTTATATAGATTAATCTACCTTCACTAAAAATGCAAAAAGTGAGATTTTTTACTAATATACAATATAAAATATCACATAGGCATACAGTAAATATTTAGAAACAAGAAAGTATGCCACTTAGGAATGTTAATCCAAGTCCAAAACAAAAATATTTTTCAAGATTTAATTTCCTTGAAATGCAAATGAATTTTCAAATTATATTTTCTGCAAATGAAACATGGCAATCTTAAATAAGTTGTAGAAACTACACCTAAAATCTCATAAACCAAATTATGAGAGTACTCAATAACAATCCCAGGGTCTTTTCATGCCCTGTTGAACATAATAAGGTGTTCAGAGGTCCGCAGGGCATTACTGAATGCAGTGTGCTTGCACGTTCTCTCTCTACACCAAAGTAAAGTACTTCTGATCTTTCCTTATTGTAGTATTATAAAATAAATTTAAAAATTAGCTTTCCCTTAACTCAGGTAAATGTTTGTACTTCTCTTTTTAGATTTCACAATAAAGGAAACCTACATAAAATCATTAAAAGACATTTGAATTTTGCTTTCTTTTCTTTTCTTTTTTTGGGGGGAGGGTGAGTGAACATGTATTATGAAAGAAATTTCATCTGGGAAAATTGTCCCTAAAATGACTCGGACAACACTTCCCTAAGTTTTCTTGTCCCTTCTGCAAGGACAACACTTCCCTAAGTCTTCTTGTCGCTTCTGCAAAGTAACTTTTGGTGCCAATACTCCCCTCTGTGGTCAAAAGAGGAAATGCAATTGTGTGAAGGGATTGCTTCAACACGGCCACGTTCAGTCCTGCTTTAGCGGCTCCCTCTCTGTGACATGAACAGACAGTGAAGGAATAATTGTGGTAAACCCAAGCCACTACAGTCAGAGAAGAATTACCCTAGAGATCATCTAGTATATTTTTACAGTATAAGGAAGATGCTCAGAGAGCTCCCCGTTCAGGCCCTTTCTACTGTTTTCTATAGAGGGAAGTACTGAATTGCTGTAATTAATCATTAACAGCTCCACATGCAATTTGCCTCATTTAAAGAGTCAGAGATCATGTTGGGGGCAAATCTTAGTGATCGTACATAGATTTTCAGTTACACAAAAGGGGGTCTAAAGTTTTATGTGCTTAATTAGTTTTAGAGATTCACTAATTTGGGTAATACTTATTTTTATAAAAAACACAAGGAATCAAGGAATCTGACTAAACTATAAATAGCTGTACATTGGTGCTAGTTATCATTCTAATGCTTTTAAAAAATAAATTTTGCTTCTAAAATCTTTACTTTCTACTTTAGAAAACAAAATTACATTTTTTAAAAAGAAGCCCTGGCTGGTATAGCTCAGTGGATTGAGTATGAGCCTGCAAACCAAAAAAAAAAAAAAAAAAAAAAAAAGAAAGAAAAGAAAAGGCATGTAAAAGAGAGTAAAAAGTAAGATGTTTATAAGCAATACTGAGTCAACAAACAAGAAGTGACCTTGACATCTTTGTTCACCCATATGTGGGAAAGGACTTAGAAAGTGCTCCCATAAATACCAATTAACATTGGCCCAATTGGTTAAGTTTGTGGTAAAGGCTGGCAAAAAGGGGAAGGGCCACATGGCTCACTGAACTTCAGAAGCAGCTGGTACCATGCCCTTCCACTGTTTGAGAGAGGCAAGTACCAACATGAGAGCAGGCAGAGAGAAACGCTCTGCCTTGCTGTGGCGTAGAGGGGTGCATTGAGTGTGTCCTTCACACACTCAGTTGGGCATTACTTACTCACTCATTCAAAGAAAAGATTTAACAAACATTGATGGAGTCTCTATAACATATTGGAGTCTTTGACTGATCGTCATAAACGCAAGTCTGTATAAGACGTAATTCCTGCCCAAAGAACTTCCGCATCCAGTTGAGGGCATGAGATGAAAAAAGAGCCAAGTAGAGAGGAACTGGGTGGCACAGGCGACAAATGTTGCGGGAGCTGAGGGTGCGAGGGTGTGGGGCAGGGCATGAGGGCCACCAGTGAAGGTGTTCAGAAAAAGCTTCGGGAAGCAGATAAAAAAGGGAAAATGTCAGTTTTGAGATTAGATGCAAAAATGTTCTTCAAAAGTTCATTTGGCAGTCAGAAATTTCTTGGAACTTGGAAGTGGTGTTAACATAGAAACAATTTTATAAATCATGGTTACTCTCTGGGGCCAGTCCACCCAAGTTCACCGAGGTGGTAACGGGGCCTCCCAGCGGCCTGCACCGAGCCTCTCTGAAGCTTGAACTCTGAGTCCCGTGGGCCTTGAGGCAGAGCACAGAGGAAACAAGCTACAAGTATGATGTGGGTACCAAGAAACGTCAGCCCCACCACCTGCACTTTCAGCAGCATCCTGGGCAGTGATGGGAGGTCACAGAAACCGGGACGGCAGTGACCGCTGCTACCCTGGGGCAGTCAAGTTCTGGAAGCTGGGGCAGTTGATGACGAGTGGTCCACGGGAAACAATGACTGACTGAAACCATGGCTTTACTTTTATAAGAGAAGAAAGTAACCTCTACTGAGCACCTATTTTATGCCATGGACTGTTAGCCACTTTCCATTTGTTCCCAGTATAATCCTTCCCACTATCCTTTGAGGTAGATATCGTTAACCCTATGTTATAGATGAGGACTCTGAGGCTCAGAGAGGTTAAACAATTGGCTCACTGTCACCCAGCACTGGGATTTGGCTTTGAACTTGACCTAAAGCCTCTCCAGTGTCACTGCCCACCCACCAGCTGCCTCTTGGAAGTGCCAGCGAGTCAGCATGATGGAACTCTGACTAATCATCAGACACTTCCTTTCTGAAATTAATGATTTAAATCCTTTCAGACCAGTGCCGGGAACAAATTCCAAAGAACTGACTTCCCCTGCGTTGGATCAATGGGGCTTTGTGTCCCTTTGTTCTGGGGGACCTTTCTAACGGGATCTTGAAAATTAATCCTGTGACAGGAGTGGCTGTTCTACTGCTGCTTTGGGAGTTGTTTTGATGTTTGCTTTTTAATTTTGCCATTGCTTAATCAGTTTCCAAGAAAATTATGTAAGGAAAGATCAGAGATTAATATTAGTGGGACATAAAAAGGGGGAAAGGATCGATTAAACTATTTTATATATTCTAGTAGTTGATATACATTTGGGCAGAGAGACTGGAATTTCTATTTCTGCTCTTTACCCAATAAGTCTTAAATCAGGTTACAGGAAACTAGAATATTAGTATTTAGAAAGCTTTTAACAACCCAGACCTGCATAAGAGACAAGAGATACAAATAATACTAACACATCCTACTTCTCTTTGTTAGAAGAAAAAAATGCCCAAGTTTATCATTAGAGATGACTTGAATGTTCCTGTTAAGTAGACAACAAACCTATGAAAAAGGCCGCCCTTCAGTTTCTCAGATACCGTAAGTGTATCTCAGCTTAACACGAAATCCTCCTGACACAGGAGACTGGTGCGCATTGAACATGAAGTGGCAGACAAATCTCAAGGCTTTAATCTAGTTCATGACAGTGTTTTAAAAAAAGTTACAAAGTCTCCAGTCTCTTTAGACGTATTGTGAGTTCCAGCGTCACCGGCTGCATTCACGTGGAAGCTTACAGGACGGAGATGCCAGCTTACACAAACAGAATGGGGCGCAGAAGGGGAAGGGCCAGGGGAAGACAAAGAGTTCCTCTGCACCAGGCATCAGACAGGCTTGTCTCAAATCCTCCTGACAACCTCGCAGGGAAATGAGAGTCTCCGTGAATAAATGCCCAGGACCCAGGGCCTTACTAGGAGTTCCCTTATCCCCTTTTCACCGATAAGGAAAAGGAGGCTCAGAGTTTTAATTACCTTCGTGAGATTCTACAGCTGTGACTGGGACATCTGGATTCAAGCCCAATTCTCTCTGAAACTATGCATTTACTTACTCTCTCCCCAGTAAAAGGTAGGGGTTCAGCCTTACTCATCTCTGCAGCACCAACACTAGGCGCACTGCCTGGCAGAGAAAGTGCTCTGTGAGCAAGTGTTGTCACAACTGACCCCAGTGTGCAAACTGCTCCCTTCGCCTGTGACATTTCTTCAGACGCAGGATCACTGCAGATCTCTGCTTTGCCTCCTCTGTGATCTTATCAGATTTCACTGGATATTGTTTTCTTTTTCTATCTCACAAACAACTCCATCACAGTCTGTTTTTCCCCCATAAGAAGTAAAAAAAGAAAAGAAAAGGGGAGGAGGGATTGAAGGTGCATAGACAGAAACGTAACCCTTACCTCACTGATATACTTACAGGGACAGCATTGGACAAAGAAGCCCAAAGTAGTAGAAGCCCATAATTTGGACTTTGTTCATTTGTTTCTGTCTCTATCACATCCAGCAAAGCCCGCATTAGTGTCTGTTTAAAAGAAATAAATATTGTCAAACCACAGCCATGTGACAGAGAATGATGTTCACAAACAAAAGGCCACACCTTTTTCTTTAGTCCAGTAGGTATTATTTCTGCTATTTCCAGGTTTGCAGTTTGAGGCATTGCTAAGGGACTCACATACTTACTCCGTCTGCATTAATTAGGAGTAGGGATTCCAGAGCTCAACTCCCTCACTATAATTGCTTCAAAATCCGCCTTAATTTTTCTTTAGACTTTGTGTTTCGGTTCACAATAAGATTGAGAGGAAGGTACAGAGTCTTCCCCTATCACCCTTGCCCCACACATGCACAGCCTTCCCCATCGTCAGCCTCACCGAACAGTGCCCTACGTCCTCCACAGAGGAGGCCTTACACCACTCTTGGTGGTGTGCACTCTATGGGCTTGGGCAGAGCTGTAACGACATGCATCTGTCATTAGGACCATTCACACACTGAAAGGTACCTTGGTTACTTCCAAGTTTCGACAGTCATGAATGAAGTTGCTATGTGCAAGCTTTTGCTACATCCCAAAATTTGGTAGGTTGTGTTTTCATTTTCATTTCTTTGAAAATACTTTTAATTTCTCCTAAAAGTTCTTCTTTGACCTATGAGTAATTTAGAAGTGTATTGTTTAATCTCCACATGTTTTGGTATTTTTCTGTCTGTTTACTGATTCCTAGTTTACTTACATTATGTTCTGAAAGTAAGTATTAGAGGACTTCTATTTTTTCAAATTTATTAAAGTGTGTTTTATGGCCAAGAATAGACAGAGCACAGAAGATTTTTTAGGAAAGTGAAAATATATGAATTGCCTAGAAGGAAATTTACAGCATTGAAATAATAGAAATTGATATAATAGAATGGATATAACTGTTACTTACTAAGGCAGGTAATGTTTATAAGTGATTAACCACTCTAATCCCCAGCTTTCTGGTTTTAATAGTCCCCAGTGTTCTGGGTGTAAAAGTTGTTGTGAAAAATAAATGAGTAATTAATTTGTGCAATGTGTCACACTACGCCTGGCCCAGAGTAAGCAACCCATAAATATTAGCAGTGCCTTATGGCTACTGTATTTTATAATAACGAATTAGCAGAACTGGAAATAGTTTAAGTATAAATTTCATTTAAAGCTGGTTTTTATCAGACTTACAATGGAAACTGTTACAACACAAAGTTTATATCTCTTGAAAAATCCTGTAGGTGTATTTCACTCTTTTGATACACTACTGTGAATGGAAATACTTGTTTAATATGTATCTAGACTCACATGGAAGAAATCACCAGATTTGATATTCATGATGTGACCAATGGGTGTATAATATTAAAAACAAAAACTTCTGTCAGTCTTTTGGCTTAAGTAGGCCATTGAAATCTACTTATGCAGAATACAGCAAAATCTTTTATTTCTTCTTAGCCCACATTTTTTTTAATGTGGGTATCAAAACAAAAAACTTGTGGAGGGAAACAGAAGCAAAACATACAAAAAGGAAGTTAAACTGCCCATGAACGTTGACACTGAACTCTGTCCCACAGTCTTAAACACTGGATGAGCTTCAGCAAAGTTCAAAATCTGTCTTGATTCATACAGGGAGTTAGAGCAGCTATGATTTAAAAAGCCTAGTTTCTTCAGAGTAAGAAAACAGGAGTTTTAGCTGAGGCATTCAAACCCCTTTTGCTGGGTCCATAGATTCTGCATGTGAGTGCAGCTTTTACATACACATGGTCTTACCCCATAAATCGTGGAAAACAAAGCAAACAAAATGTTTGTCTGGGTCTGTCTGTGAAACAGAATCAATAGCTGAAACATAGTTTGTTAACACAGCCCCTTCCAGTATAGCTTCTATTCCCTTGATTCGGAAGGGAGATGCTTGAACATTCAGGCACTCCTCTGTTTCCTAAGGCTGTCTCCCGCTCCAGCGTTAGGCGGAGTTGTTTGTGGTAACGTTGGCTCTACTGACTAAAAACAAACAAAACCTTTTTGATGTGATCTTTAAATACTAGAAGATCCGAGGTGAGTTTTTAAACTCTGGATGAGTTTAAAAACAACAGTGATCAATTTTAAGGGAGTCCTTACTATGTCCTAAGTGCTTTACAAACATAGCTCATTTAGTCCCCACCACTCTGAGGTCGGGACGGAGCCGAGGCCAAGAGATTCGGTTTCAAGGTCCTACAGCTGGGAACAAGATTTGGGCCCAGGCATTCAGAACAAATGAATCTCGGTGTCTGAGGATGGGTCTGGAGAAGCAGGTCATTCTCAATAGCTTCCAGAGATTCTAGTGAGCAGCCAGGGCTGAGGACCGTTCATTAGCAAGCATTGGAACCACCCGGAAAGCTTACTAAACCACACACGGCTAGGATCCACACCAGTTTCTGACTGCATGGTGTCCAGGCGATGGTGGTACCACGGGTCTGGGGACTACACTTAAAGAACCACAGATCTAGGACAGTTAAAACACTGATTCCTGTGCCTAGCTTTAAAATTATACCATACAACCCCCTTGCATTTGAAGAGAGAAACAACTAGTGGCACCAAGAATGAGAAACTCTGGCCCTGACTGGTGTGGCTCAGTGGATTCAGTGCCAGCCTGTGAACCAAAGGGCTGCTGGTTGGATTCCCAGTCAGGGCATATGCCTGGGTTGCAGGCCATGTCTCTAATAGGAGGCAACCCTCTCTCTTGCACATAAGAGGCAACCCCCTCTCTCTCCTTCTCTTCCCATCTCTCTAAAGATAAAAAATAATAAAATTTAAAAAGAAAAAAAAAACTGGTACATTTACACAATAGAATACTACGCAGCAGAAAGAAAGAAGGAACTCCTACCCTTCGAGACAGCATGGATGGAACTGGAGAGCATTGTGCTAAGTGAAATAAGTCAGGAGGTGAATGACAAATACCATAGGATCTCACCTATAAGTGGAACCTAATAGACAAAACAAATAAGCCAGCAAAATAGACCCAGAGACATTGAAATAAAGAGCAAACTGACAGTGACCAGAAGGAAGGAGGGAGGGGAATACAAGGGAAGAAGGGCAAGGGTCAAGTCCAGGAAGATGTATAAAGGACCCATGGAAAGGACAATGGGGTGGGGGAGGAAGACAGAATGTGGGAGAGGGGGTGAGTAGGGCAGGGGAGAGCAATAGGGGAAAAATGGTGACAACTGTAATAGAACAACAATTAAAATTATTTTTTAAAGAAAGAACAAAATCCATTTTGTACAGCTTTATTCTCCTTGCTTACTTTGCCATAAGTAACTCCTACCTGTTACTGTTGACACAGACAATTGTATAATATATGAATAAATGAAGAATCTCAGAATTTTGTTTTGTTCAGTGGACTGTAGACTCAGGTGTTTTTTCTGTAGAACAGAATTAATACCTACCTCGCTACTGCAAGTCTGTAAAAATAAAATAATGTATGTAAATATGCCTAACACCAATGCTTGGCACAAAAATGTATCTAATCTCCTGAATGGTAGCAAAAATATATATTAACAGTCATAGTTAGATAATGTCCTCATCTCATGTATTTTAAGGAAAAAAAAAGGTATACTTACCATGGAATTATCTTTTTCAGATTTGTATGTTTTTATATCTGGAATGTTTTTCTCAAAAAATGCTAGAAGCCACCTTTTGGATTTTGACCAGTTTCTAGGTGAGAAAAAAACAGTATGTGTATAAATTGACTTCAGGAGTAACAAGTCACACAATGAAGTGGGGGGACGTCCATGGAATTAGAATTATTTCTCCAAACTTTTCATCTTCAGCTAGAATTTCATGAGAGGGCTGCCCTCAGACTTATTATCCGACAGGAAAAATTGAGAGGAGGCAATTTTAGCGTCTTTTACAAACAAATGTTTGAGTTCCTGTTCGACTGACACTGAAGAAGAAAATAGGACCCAGCATCTGCTTGGTCTACATTTACTCTGGCTGCTGTCGCTTAAAACTGGCCCAGGGACTCAACTCCGGATTAACCCAGGCATAGAGACCTAGCTATGATGTTTTTAAGCTTTTCTGACCAACAATCACTGCATACCAACTGCCAAAAAAAAAACAAAAAAAAAAACATGAGTTACTTTGCATTCAAGCCATTTTATCAACATTTATCTGGGCACAACAAGAGAAATGCACTTGACCACACCAACTTTTGCATCAGAGAGAATGAGGGCAATAACGTCTGGTTCTGAGACGAGCCACACTTGACAATTTAATAAAGGCCAACACTGTAGCAATGACAGACAGCTAAGTAAGTAAGTAAGATAAAAGCTGTAAGATAAAAGGCCTCAAAATAAGTTCTTCATTCCATTCTAACATTCATGTTCATATTCTCTCTCTCATTTTTGCTTCTGAAAATTTTAAAATAAAAAAAGGAAAGCACGTGTATGTCTTCTGTTCCTCCTTCAAAAACAAGCTGGTCATAGGCTGTAGTTCTCTCTGTTCCACTTAAACTGCTGATATATCTACTGAGAACAGAGAAATGAGAGACCTATGAATTGCTGGGAGGAGTCTGGCCAATGAATTAATTATAGGAAACAACTTCTACCTTAGAAGACATTCTGGCATCTGGGACCCATGCTCAAAACCTTCATCATAAACTTGAAAATGCTGATGGAACTCCATGATTTTCCTCTTGTTTGTGGGAAACAAACCTTTTTTAAAGAGGATATTCACACTGACTGGATAAAGGAGATACCTATAAATAGAGAAATGTAAAACGTCAGACCCAATGACCAAAGGAGAAGAAAAAAATCTGGATACAAAAGAGGGAAGTATTTAATAGCTACAGATAAGGAATAGATATAGTATGTGACAGATTTCTTGGGTGGGGAGAGAAAGTCACTTTTAATAGAGTTTAATGTTTGCCTATAGTTGTCAAGATGACTTAGGGGTAACTGAAATTGTAGCCTTATTTATCTGAAGATTTAAAATGCTTTCTAAGCAAGCATTCTCAGATCCTGACAAATGTGAGATGCACGAAAGTAAATTGGTTCAATGCAATTTCAATTAGCATTTATTTAGCAAATAATAACTGGGATACAGTCCATGCCCTTCGATAGCAGCAAAAAATAACTAAAGGCCATCAAAGGTAATCTTACTCACCAAATTTCCTAATGTCTCACAAGATCCTACAAATGGGAACTACTGCATATTGAAAATAGTATAGTGTGGTGTGGCTCAGTGGATTGAGCACGTGCCTGTGAAACCAAAAAGTCACTGGTTCGGTTCCCAGGTCAGGGCACATGCCTGGGTTGCAGGCCAGGTCCCCAGCTGGGGACATGTGAGGGGCAACCACACACTGATACTTCTCTCCCTCTCTTTCTCCTTTCCTTTCCTTCTCTATAAATAAATAAATAAAATCTTTAAAAAAGGTATTTGTTAAAAATATATAGTATATATCATGAAGTTTTACCATAAGTGAATAAAATGATTACTGTGGCATACTGAAGTAAAAGAATATCAATGGTTGCTAATATGTGCTAGCTTGGTGATACTAAGTACTGTTCATTTCAATTTTATTTACTTTCTCCAAAGTTGCAAAGATATCTGAGAATTTGCTGTTTTGTTGCAGATACAGGGCAAACCAAAAGTTTAGTTGGTTGGTTGTTGCTTTGTTGCTTCTTTTTCCTGTTCTAAACTGCTAACAAAACATTAAATGTTGTTCTGTTTTATGAATCTGAACTGTTCAATCCTGCATTCAGCACCCCAGAATGCCACTGAGATGGAGAAGTACCTAAGGCAGCTTCAATTCCTCACACCCCCGTCTGCAGGTAGGGAATTTCTGTCATGGTTCCCATGCCCAGACCCTACCTTTGCCAGAAAGCTTCAGAACGTAGCTGGCGTGCTGCCTGGCCACCCGCCGCCCCTTCCTAACTCCCTGGTCTCTCAGCACCTCCCCTCTACCAGTCTGAGCGAGGCCCACATTGACTTTGCCTCAGTCAGCTTTTCATGTCTCGCAAACATCTCCTGGACCCTCATCATCTACTTGATGACTATCCTGTCCCTTGTCTTCTCAATGTCCACTTGTTACAATAGTCGCAAACTGCACTGAATTTTTTATCAAAATTCTGATGGATGCATGGCAATTCTAAGAGGTAAACCCATAGAGCACACACAATTGTATGGAATGACTAATGAGAAATTACTGTAAATGTATTAAAATGTGTTGACTTATTTGCTCACTGTAAAATTGGAATGCTAAACTGAAATTTGGCCATTAATTGCCATTTAGAGTATTAACATAATTTCTTAATTGCCTAGTCAGCTGGGCTTCATTAATCCACCAGATAACTTAAGCCTGATGTATGGGCTTGAAATTATTTTATTCCAAAGAACAGATGAAATAATACCAATCAATCTTACCTTACTAAGATGTTCAGGTCCCTTGAACCACAAGTGCCTAAGTTCCTGAGTTGTTCATGTAATTCTTCAGTTAGTTGTTCAGTGAATTGACATAGATTGAAAGTCCCTATTTTCCCTTTCATCAGCACATAAAGTTTTTCATGCAGTGCTAAAAAGATATTCTTTGGAATTGATGCTATAAACAAGAAAACTATTTTTAAAAGAAGCGACGACTCCTTAAAACAGTCAATATAACTCTATATTATTTGATCAGTATTGAATACAGTCCAAGTTCAACAAACACATAAAGTAACCTCCTACAAATAAAACCAGGTAAAGATTCAGCTTACATGGTGAGACAGTAAAAGTGTGCAGGGTACTTTAAGGGATAATTTGGTAGTGGGTGATGAAAAGGGCCTCTGGAAAACACAGTTCTAGTGATTTTATTTTCATGCTAAAATGTTTCATTAGCTTCCTACCATCTTTCTGGGCCCCTTCCCCCTCCAAATCTGTATTTCAGGCATATTGAAAACACACACCTTTTTATATATCCCAGCATTTTCATGAGCTGTTCTATCTGCTCAGAACATTCTCAACTTGGCCAACCTCACCCCCATTCCCACACTCCCAAAGCCTAAATTTCTTCTGATAATTTCTATTCTTCTGTCAAGCATCTTTTTGAATATTTCTTCCACCAGGAGTCCTTTCCTAACCCCATGAATTGCTTTGGTCCCACTATTTCCTTGATATTACCATGATTCTTCTATAATACACACTTCTGGTTGAGTTGAGGTAGTGAGAGCATGAGTGAGTTTTTTAACTCACTATTTCTTTATATTTTTATTTAATCCTATTTTATTTTCTTCAAAGTAACTTTTCAAAAAATAATTCTTAGTTTTGTATTTCATCATCCTATTATGTATAGGTTATAATTTACATAGATTAATTAAAAATAACTTTTAGCCCTGGCTGGAATGGCTCAGTGGACTGAGTGCCAGCCTGAGAACCAAAGGGTCACTGGTTCGATTCCCAGTCAGGGCACATGCCTGGGTTGTGGGCCAAGTCTCCAGCAGGGGGCATGTGCAAGAGACAAGCACATATTGATGTTTCTCTCCATTCCTTTCTCCCTTCCCTTCTCTAAAGATAAATAAATAACATCTTTGAAAAACAGTTTTTAGATACTCTTGAGCATTCATCTCTGTGACAGAGAAATACATGATGATAGAGAAATACATGAAAGGAATAGGAAGCCGGCTCAAAAGTAAATGTTAACATATTTCATTTGTTAAATAGAAATATTTAAACATGAAAGCCCCCAGTGAGGGGCAGGTATAAAAATCTTGATCACTTCCATATACCTGACAGGTGAGTAATTGGTATAGATTTCCAAAGGCTTTACAGATCAAGAGATTTGAAAATATTTATATTCTTTGATCTGGAAATCCATAGTCCAAAGAGCAAGAAGTACTAAATAGTCATAAAATGTAACCCACATGTGATTTTCATGAAAAAAAGAAGAAATAATAATCATTCTATTGATCACTGAGAGCTTTGGAAACAAACTTTCTTTTTCCTTAATGGCAAGAGGGAGGAGGAGAGACAGACAGACAGACAGACAGAGAGAAGCCACATGAAAAGGAACCTAAGAAAGAAGCAAAAAGGGAAACAAAGAGGGGAAAAAAACCATGGACAGTAGGAGCAAGCACAGACATGGTGAACACAGAGAAGAACCAAGCACAAAACGAACCAGCCCTGCATTCCTGGGAGGACAAACGGCATCAGCGTGCATGTCAGTGAGAGGCACCCAGGGAACGTGCTGACCAGTCCAGTGCAGCGGTCTCTGGGGGTAAAGAGTTGGTGAAAGGACACCACTGACCTTAACAGCCCTACGGAATATGTCAGGAAATGCCATTAGTAAAGGGCTTACTAAGCGGTGGAATTCCACCTTCAGGGAGCAGAGGAGCACAATGTGATCAAGCCAAGAGCTACAGCCTGAAAAACGTCACATACGCAGTAGCCGAAGACTTAGCCACACCTGGGGAGCTGTAACAGGATACAGATTCCAAATATGTCCCAAAGAAAACATCAGGGAGGTAACCTCATCTCTTTCGCATGTCTAAGTAAGATCTAACTGTACTAAAGCTGTCAATAATTTGCTTTTCAATGACCAAACTCATCATATACTTTTCTCCTTCTATCCCTATTCTAAAGAATAAAATAATGGGGCCTCATCGTTCTTGATAAAGGAGTAAAAAGGTAACTGTTACCTAAAACTACTCTTGGATTTCAATGTTGTGTTTCAAATGAACTATACAAAAAAATCCTTTACCTGTGCGATAGACCGGAGTTTGCACGGCGAGTTCAAAATCTACTTCTTTGGATTTTAGAAACACATTCATGCCCTCTTCTTCAGTCACAAAGGTCATTCGAGTTCCCATAGCAAAAACTGTAAATATTGGTCCATACTGGGAAAAAAGCACATAAATACAAATCATATTAGTAGGCAGTTATGATAAATAAGTTACTGGGCCATGGGTTAGGTTTAAGACAATGTTCCTCAAGAACCCCAGTGCTGAAGTCACAGTCAAGAAAAAAATTATTATTGTTACATGTGGTAATTAAGTCTAATTTTTTATCTTCACCTGAGGACACGCTCATAAATTTTGACTGATTTGGCCAACTCTAAATTATATAAATTCTAATTTATTCTGTCCTAATACTTAACTTTCCTTCTGATCATGTTATGATTTACTTGTTCCTTCCTTTCTTGGGGTACAAAATAATAATTAGAAATCATTATTAGAAATTTTATTAAACACTGTGATATTTGAACACTGTTTTCAAGATTCAATAACTTATAAGCAACCTATAATTCAACTTTGTTCAAGAATAGAGATACAAAATTGCTGACTGCTTCTACCATAAATCCATAGTCACTCAACGTCTTGCAATCCTAAAAGGTTCTCTAAGTGTTCACTTGCTCACTTTCCAAAATGACTATTTTACATGTACAGCCTGCCTAGCCCCTCCATTGAGAGAGTGCTCCTGCTTTGTAACTCCTGGGAAAATGGAAGCAATGAAGTAAGAACACGCTCAAAGCAGACGCATTTGTACCCACGCTCCACGCTTCCCTCTGGTGAACACAGGCGGAGGGTCCTGCCCCCGGAAAATGCCAACCCTTCTTCACTTGGGCTGTGGAGCCATGCTCTCTTACCTTCTTTCTCCCACATCATCCGGCTGGCCCTCTCTATCAGATCTCTCCTAGTAGCCTACACATGTACTCTGGTAAGGGGTTGATTCCAGGAAGTCCATGACTGTTGTGGAAAAATATATCATTTTCATTGACTTCTAGTGGCAATTTACTCTTTTCTTCAATTGTGAATATAGACAACTAACCATAATCTTATCCATGGTCTATCATGAAATGAACTCACTGTTCCAACTGTATTTTCTTAGATTCTGTTTCTATTTGGCATCAGTCATAACAGACCCAATTGTACATGGTCTATATTTTTCTTATTGTTGATGCTCTGGCACTGGTGACCTCAGTACTGGGGAGAGGCTGCCCTCCAGGGCTAGCCCATTCCCAAAGGGCTCACCCAGAGAGGAGCACACCTTTTGCATGCAAAGCAACCAATCTGCCTCCCAACTACCACCTTACCTAATTCTCAAATACCAGGCCAATAACTCCCTGACCCTAAGTCATCCCAGGGCCCAGGTACCAGGCAACTACAGACAAGCCCTATAGCCCAAAGCCCACAGGAATTATTATTTTGAAGTAGCCAATCCTAAATTGTTTACCCTGCCCTGCCCTGCCTTTCCTGAGGAAGTCCCAGTAAAGGGTCTGGCCCAGGCTTTTCTCTTGCTCCTATCTTCTGCTTCCTAAGGGACCCTGGGGCTTTCTCCCATGGCCCCGTGTGAGATGCAGTGACCTGCTCCCAGAACTGCGGGTATAATAAACAGTTTCCTTCCATGTTTCCTTTTCATTCCCCTGTGGCCACGGTGACTTTACCAACTTTATCTGACATACGAGTATACATTCTTAGAACCACCACCCTTACTTTTCTATCCCATTAAAGTCATTATAAATATCTCTAAATACCACTCACACTCCTCACTACCTCAATATCACAGTCATTTTTCGCCCTTCCAGGCAACGACACGTGACCACTCCTGTGACATACTGTTGGACTCAGCACTCACAGGGCCAGCAAAGAGTGAAGTCTCACGTTCTTCCACTAGTGACCCAGGCATCTGCATGGCTGTCCAGTAGTCCCTCTCTGTGACTGCTCGCTAGTCAATGCATAGGAGATGACTGATTTTCATCGTCTGTTAAACTTTTATCCAAATGAGAGTTCTTCAAGTTCCCTTAGGAAAGTGTCCTTTTGTAACACGTATTGGCACCCAGGCCACAGGGTAGAACAGCCAAGTTCAAACACACTGAATAGCTGAGATAACTGTTGACAAGTGGCAAGTAACTTATTTAAAGTAACTTATTACAAAATGACTGAACGGTGGGAATGATCATGTTCAGTGTTATAAATTCTGTAATAGTGATTTTTTGTCTTCCTTGCTTTCCTTTCGTTCTCATTTTTGTGCAGTGTCAGCACTCTGAGTGTTACGAAGTAAAGGCAAGCTCAGGCAGTGTGGTGTAGATGAAATGCTCCTATTTTCTTTTAACTGTTTAATTTGAGGTCATGTAGACTAACATGCAGGTGTAAGAAATAATACAGAGACCCCATGTACCCATTACTCTGCTTCCCCTGGTGTTAACGCCGTGCAAAGCTGTAGTGCATTACCAACCAAGCTATCGACATTGATAAAGTCAGGTAATATTTCCATCACCGTACCTCGTATGCCCCTTTTTCAGCCACACCCATTTCCCATGCCCACCTCCTCCTTAACCCTTGGCAACTACTAATCTGTATTTCTAGAGTATTGAATTTTTTTTACCTATTTTTCAAGTACAGTTTTCTGTCTATTTCTAATAATGTTATAAAAATAGGATCACATAGTATGGAAACTTTGGAACTGGCTTTTTTTCGCATGGCATAATTCACTTGAGATCCATCCAGATCTTGTTATAGGTATCCTGTCATGTGTATCAATAGTTCATTCCTTTACATTTTGAGTAGTATTCCGCGCTATCAATGTACCCTGGTTTGTGTAAACACTGTCGAAGGACATTTGTGTTCTTTTCAGTTTCAGGCCATTACAAATAAAGTTGCAATAAACATTCGTGGGAGGTTTTTGTGTAAACATAAGTTTTCATTTCTCTAAGATAAGTGCCCAGACATGCAATTGCTGGGTCATACGGACCAGCATTTCCATCAGCAATTTTCCCATTTTACATTGTATATTTCCACCAGCAACGTATGAATGATCCAGTTTCTCTGTACCCTTACTAGCATTCAGGTGCTGTCATTTTTTTTAATTTAGCCATTCTGATGGGTGTGTAGTGATATCTCATTGTGGTTTTAATTAGCATCTCCCTAATTGTGAATGATGTTGAGCATCTTTTCATGTGTTCACTTGTCATCTGTGTATCCTCTTCAATAAGTTGTCTGTTCATAATATTTTGCCATTTTTTAGATTATTGTTTTTTTCCTTTTATCTTGAGTGTTGAGGTTCTTTATGTATTCTAGATACTAGTCCTTTGTTCCACATGTGGCTCACAAATATTTTCTTTCAGTTTATGGAATCACTGACTATGGACTTTCATGCTAAAATATTTCTACTTAACAAATGAAATATGTTAAGATTTACTCTTAAGCCAGATTCCCACTTCTCTCATGTATTCCCCTACCACACAGAAGATGAATGTGCCAGGATATCTAAAAATTATTTTTAATTAACCTGCATAAAATGCAACCTAAACATAATAGGATGATGAAATACAAAGTTAAAAATTATTTTTGAGCCTGGCTGGTGTAGCTCAGTGGATCGAGTGCGGGCCTACAAACCAGGGGATCGTGGTTCGATTCCCAGTCAGGGCACATGCCTGGGTTGCAGGCCAGTTCCCAGCAGGGGACGCACAAGAGGCAACCATACATTGATATTTCTCTCCCCCCCTCCTTCCCTTCCCCTCTAAAGATAAATAAATAAAATCTTAAAAAATTATTTTCAAAAAAGTCACTTTAAAAAATAAAACAGGATTAAAGAAAAATTTAAAAGAACAATAAGTTTTAAAAAACTCACACTCTCACAAGCTCAACCCCACTAGGAGTGTGTATGTGTTGTGGAAGGAGCACAAACACTGACATGAAGGAGAGAGCGGGGCCAAAGCCATCCACGGTATTGGGAAACCAGACATGTTCGTGCCTTTAGAATACAAATCTATTTGAAAAAATAACCATTTTTTAAAGAAGAAGATGAACTTCCAATTTCGATAATGACATCATGGCTACTTCTTTCAGAATTTTCCCACTCCTTTCCTGGAAATCACACCAAGTCAGAAGGAGAATGGAACAAATACATGTACAAGCAACAGACTAAGCTAAACAATAAGGAGAAAATCTACAAGCTACAGAAGTGTGGCCCATGGCACCCGAAACCAGCAGGACTGGCAGAGGAAGCTCGAACAGTATAGGGGGGGAAACGAGGAATATGCAGGGGGTTCAACATGGAAAGCTCAGAAATGTACACTATGAGATAGAAGAAGGCAAAACACAGAGTTGGAGCCACTCTGAGATGGTCTCAAATAAGCAGACCAGGGATATTGAGGGAGGTAGCGAAAGATCACACAGAAACTATTCAGAGAGCTCCAGAATGCATCATTTTCTACAAGTGAAGAGACACCGTAAGACAAGAATTGTGCCTCTTAGTAGCAGCAGCTATTGAAGAAAGGCAGTGAGAGTTCGAGTCTGGAAGATGAGATCCTGAAGCGCATAAGAGCCATACATAGATGATGTATGCACAGGGGCACTATATTTTCACTGCAGCAACAGAGGGCAAAAGACTTAACCTGAGACACCTGGAAAGCAACTGCTTCCAACCAATACCTTTTGCTGACAGCCAGTCAAAGACAACTCAACTCTTTAAAATATGGTTAAACAAATGGGAAAAATTCAGCATTATAAAAAAATACTTTTAAAAAAATTATTTATTTTAATTGTTGTTCAAGTACAATTTTCTGTAAAAAAATGTTTTTTTAAAGAGAATTTCCTGATAAACTCACTGAAAATATTTTGCTAAGGAGTACATAAACACTGAAATGCAAAATTATTATAGTGAATTAAAAAATCAATGTAACAATTGCAGCTGCAAAGAAAATAAACAAAGCAGAACTATAAGAAACCATGGAAGAAACAGCCAGACAAAAGATGAAAATTAGGAAATAGCGGAACTCAGGAGAGGAAAAGGGTATTTCTGAATAAACAACAGTAATTACGTGAAGTATAAGGGAGACTATACATCCTACAAGAGAAAGAAAGAAAGAAAGAAAGAAAGAAAGAAAGAAAGAAAGAAAGAAAGGAAGGAAGGAAGGAAGGAAGGAAGGAAGGAAGGAAGGAAGGAAGGAAGGAAGGAAGGAAGGAAGAAAAAAGAAGACAAAGAAAGTCTAAAGAAAGAGAGTACAAAAATGTGAAAAATGCAAAATAGAAAATAGAAATAAACACGGAAAGAATTGCAAGGGAAATGACAGCTACAGAAGACAGGCCAAGGAGATTAACCCTATGAATGACTGGACCTCTTTCCCAAACTCCCGATTCATTTACCCAACTACTTAACTCAACATCTTCACCCAAACTTCTACCTTACCTAAAGCTGAACCTGCCTTCCAATGGGTTCTTCTTGCCCCGTCATTTAATGGCAATCTACTTTCTAGTTTCTCAAGCCAAACTTCTTGGAACCATTTTTGAGCCTTTTCATTCTTTCACATACTTTTTGTTGCTTCCACTTTAAAAATATATCCAGTCTCAAACATCTATTGCTATCACCATGGGCCAAGGCACCAAGATCTTAAACTTGAATTATTACAATAATCTTTATATTATTTTCCTTCTTTTATTCATATGTCTCTGTTTTTAACAGAGTTGCCAAAGTGACCCTTTAAAACACTCAGAAGTTTTCCTAGATCACCCCAAATTACAAACTATTTACACTTTGAAACTGACCATTTACAGATATACTTGCACACACATAAATGACATTTCTTGCTACATTATTTATAATAGCAAAATATGAGAAAAATATCCATCATTGAGTGACTGCCTAAATGACCAATGGCTCAGGGAATACTTTACAGGTTTTATAACAAATTTGCAACCTATGCAAATTTCTGCATAGGATGTGGTAGAACCAGATTGGCCAAGGATTTCACTGCCAACTAGAAAAAGGTGAATAAATTACAAAGATCATATTTTTTAAAGCAACAGAGAATTGGGAAAACAATAAGAACTAAATGGGCTAAAAGTCTACAGAGGAGAGAGTTGTGCAAAAGTGAAAAAACAAGAGATCACTATTGATTTTCCTGATAAATTCTGGGTATGGGCTGAAGGTATAATAGAAATTGACAAAGTTTAAAATTTATATTAAAATTCAAATTTAAATAATCTTGAATGTCAAGACAATTACAAAAAAATTGTAGAGAACTTTCACTACCTGATTTAAAGACTTACTATAAAACTACAGTATCTGAGACAGTGTAATGCTCACACAGGAGTGGTCATGTAAGTCAATGGAATAGGATAGAAAAGCTGGAACTAGATCTGCACATATACAGTCAACTAATTTATGAAGAAAAGCTGTAAAGGTGATACGGTGAGACAAGGAAAGTCCTTCAAGAGAAGTCCTTCAGTTGGACATCCAGATAGGGAATAAAAATGAGTCTTACCCCTTACCACACACAAAAAAAATTCAAGTGGATTATAGACCAAAATGTAAAGTCTAAAACTATAAACTTTTTAGAAAACACAATAATCTTTGTGACCTTGCTTGAACTTTTCAGACAAGCTTGTAAAAAGGTTCCCTAAACATTATCAAAATCATATGCCTAAGGAAGGCTATAAGAGACAAAGAGAAATTTCTTTTAAAGATAATATTGTCCATCTATCAAACTTGCAAGAATTATGGCTCCTTGTGTGGGCCAGGATATGAGGAGCAAGGCAATCCCCTAGCTACACTCAAAAGAAAAGAAAAAAAAACAGATATTGTTAAATCCCTTTGCAAGGACAACACAGAAACATAAACAATTCAAATGTTCCTGTTCTTTGGGCACATCCATTTTTAGGAATTTATTCTGAGTAAACATTCAGCTAAGTGCAAAAAAATACAACCACACAATATGCATACTCATGGGAATACTCAGTGAACCATTGGTTGATATAGAGAAAAAAGTTGGCAGCATTCTATACATTCTTTTTGCAAAATATTCTACATTTTTGCAAAATATGCTACATATTTTAAGGACAAAAACATCTACTATAACAACCATTTCTAACCTCCTTAGCGTCCAATGAAAATGGATGTCATCATCATTAAGTAATATCACCAGTGGAAAATACATGGGCGGCTAAATTTGTGAAGACCAAGTCTGCAAGCAATTTTTACAACAGCCTGGTGTTAACTCCGATTTGGGTACTAACTTATTATGCTTTTTTCACAAACTGAAAGTATGCTTGTCTTTCCCAATTATGGCAAACATTTTACTCAGGATTTTTCTGATGATGAAGTAACTAGCACTCTTAATGTCTCCTTCCAAAAAGGCAGTTAATAACAAACTGCATTGTACATCATAATCTTGCATAAGACATAGTTGTTGAGGAATTCACAAATGATTAGCTCGCTTGATTGAGGATAGTAGGTATTAATATGTTCCCCGTGTTCTAATATTAAATTTGAGATCCAGTGAAAGAAAATAAAAAAGAAAACATTATCTTCTCCGGAAACCACACTTGATAAGGCCACATACCTTGAATCTTGCTTTCTCTATAAATTCTAGAGGGGCTTTTCCAAAGTCAAATGCAGCTCCAATCCAAGGAATCCAGCCCCTTATGCACGGGGGTCCACGCAAGTTCTTCCACTGAAGGAGTAACGAAAGAGCAATACAACCTAGGATTATAATCACTGATGGGAAAATTAGTTCCATATTTTTGTCTAGCACCTTCCAGAATCAGGGAAAGAAAAACCCTGCCGCCGTGGCACTTGATTCTTCTCTCTGGAAGAGAGAGCACCCACCAGACCTCGCAAAGTTTTTGCTGCAACTTTTGCAGCTTTCTTCGCCTTTTTAACTGTAGCCGCCTTTCCCCGCCCCAATTTTTAGATGTGTTTTACATCATCGGCCCCTCCCAGTTTTCTTTCAAGTATTGACCAACCAGGACCCAATGCTGGGGCTGGACCAAGGTCGGAGGGAGGGTCCCGAGGGGCCCGGCGGGAAGAACTGGAGCTGTTGCCTGGAGACAGGAGGCGGTGGCACGGCGAGTGCTCCGCTCTCAGCCAATCAGAGAATGCGACCGGAGAGGCTCTGAGTCCCTCGGACTGCATTTCCCAGAAGCCGCGTGGGCTCCGTGTTGTTTTCGGCTGTGAAGTCCGCTAGTCCACTGAAGTCTGGGGCTGCTAGGAAGGCTGCTGTTTCGCAGGGCCCTGCGGACGGAACAGGGCGAGGGAGATGATCTCCGCCGCTCCATTCGTGGGCTGAGGAGAGGCCGTTCTGGTAGGGCGGCAGGCCAGCCACCGCGCGGGGCGCCGGCCGAAGGGTGCATTGTCGTCCTGTACAGCTGCTGCTGAATGTCGGCTCCAGAGGATGAGGAGCGGCTATTGCCACTCACCCAGAGATGGCCCCGAGCGAGCAAGTTCCTACTGTCTGGCTGCGCGGCTACCGTGGCCGAGCTAGGTACCCGGCCGCCCACGCCTGGGCCTCTGCAGCGAGCGGTTGAGGCTCCTTGCTGGGGTTGGGGTGGGGTCGGGGAGGGTGGCGAGGATTGCTGGAGGGGAGGTACGTGGCAGGTGGTTTGGTTCTCCGTGTGTGCAGTCCGCGAGGCAGCGCCCTGTCCTTTTACACGTGTCCGGCAGATGTGACAGGGTTGGGGCAAGGCCAGTTTTGTGTGGAGGAGACTGGAGGTCACTAAGGTCTTTGCCTTCCAATTTCCTCTCCCTCAGAGGTGTGCGATTGTGCCCAAACCTGCACTTTTAGAAGCTTCCCGAGCTGATGTTCTTCTGTAGGAGTCGTTTTCCTTTTAATGAGGATGACCTTTTGAAAAACACAATCCACTTTTCACCCTTATTGAAACAATCTCTGTGATTTATATTCTCACACACCCTCACTACATCATTGTCTTTTGGCTCCAAATTGTAAACCCAACTTGGGGAACTTCAATTATTAACCTATTACACTTTTGAGCATCTATTCAGCATTTGCCAGTTTTATCACTTTGAGCTTGACTGTGTTTACCTTGCAGGTTTCTGAGAAACCAATAATAAAAAAAAATGCAAAATCCAAGGCAGGGCATCCAAGAATCTTGACATTACAATAACTACTACAGCCCTAGAGACTGTGTAGATATGGTTAGAAAGACTTGGCCCTGATCTTACAGGGTGGTGGGGAGACATGCAGAGACAGACCATTGCATTGTGCTCTCTATAACAAAGATGTTATTAAGTATCATAATAGCAAAGAGAGGAACAGGTACATCTGAAGAAGCAAGTGAGAGAAAACTTAAGAGACCACCTAGAGCAGAGCGATGACACCCTCGCATGAGCAGTGTTTTTTAAATTTATGTTACCAATGGTTTCTTCCAAGGATTTTGTGAGTCGCGTCTACATGAAGCCTTCTCTGTGCCTTTTAAGATTACCCTTTCGTTTTCTCTCCCATTAAAAACAAACAAACAAAAAGCAACAGCCCTGACGTGTTATCATTTGTAAATGCTTGTCCTGTTCAAAAATGAGTTTATTTTGTTTTTCTGGCACAGCCCGCACATGATTCCTTACTTCGCCCTTTGTGCTCCTCCACTCTTGCCCTTCGGACTCTCTGCTTTTTTTCTCTGTCCTCCCAAAACTGATGGAGAGTTATTTTTATTCATTTTTTTACTGAAATGAATAAAAATGATCCACTTACAAATGATCCACGTTTTTAAAGAATTAGAAATCAGATTTCTAAATGATTATATGTATTTCCAGTGTTTTTTAAACTTATGTTACCAATGGTTTTTGTAAAGGAACGTTTCTTGTTAAAAATTTGTGGAGAATTGTGGATGGGCCAAGGTGGGAGGTAGGGAGAATCAAAACATGAGATGGTTTTGAGTGCAAAACAATTTAGGATCAGAAGCTGAAGTATTTACTTAAGTAACCAGCAAGAAAAAGTTACTTTGAGAGGCATGATTATGCTCATATAGAGGCTTCTATGTCTCAAGACTTTTCAAATTTCGTATTTCAATGAAGCACTGCTTGAATCCTCTATATGTAAACTACTTCTGTTTTAGGGAAACTATCAGCAAGATACAAATTTTTCTAAAGACCTGTGGTAAGATTTAATATTCTCTTCCACTCCGTTTGCTCTTGGAAAAGGCATAGCTATGGTTCTGTATCAGGTGGTTGTCATTGATAGATTTACATATTGTGAATAATGTTTATGAACTTCTCTGAATCTGGTCATCTCAGTTATTTGGGACATTGTGTAATATAAAGTTATTAGCATGATCTCCCTAACGTGGACTAGTTAGCTTTATTCTATTTCAAGGTAAAAGGTTTATCTCTAATGCAAAATGTAATCATTAGAAAAAAAATTTTTAAGTACAATTGATACTTGTAAGGGGGGTCATGCATAAGCCTTATCAGTGCTGGAAAAACAACCCAGTATGTGCTTTAATAGAAGGACTACGAGTATGCCACCTTTGTATGTAAAAGATGACATTATAAACTCCATATTGCATCTTCTATATCTCAAGCAACAGGTTAGTGATTTGTCTGCATGTGAACATCACCCATGAAATTAGAGAATTCAGCTTCATCTGACATTTAAGAACCTAGTATAAGTACTACAGTATTGCAAAAGTCACCTTAGATTTTAAGCATAATTGCAATCAAGAGGCCATCACAAAATATGTATACCTGAAATTATTCTCATTGGAAAGCACAAATTAAGGAGAAAAATAAATCGTAGGCTCACATTTCTTTTTCTAATAGTTCATTTCTTTATGGTATTTCTTTCATTAGTATTTATCCTCCCTATATCCTCTTCTACATCCACCCAACCAACCCTCTCCCCGCCTCACCATCACCACTGTTGTCCATGTCCATGAGTTCTTTTGAAATTTCTGAATTAAAAAAAAAAACCAAGACTTGTCACATTTGCCCCCTGGTGATTTGGAGATGCTCTGGTATAGTGATTTGTAAATTTGGGTGTGTAGAATAATTAACTGATTTCTAACCTCCTATCAACCTACTGAATTCATAGGTATAGTACTCAGAATTCTGTAGTTTTTAATAATTTCCCCAGCTGATTCTGGTGTATTCTAAAATTTGAGAATCACTGCCCTTGTGACAACTAAACTATGAGTCCTGTGATTTTAGAATTTCTTTGTTTCCCTGAGTATTACGGGTTTCCCCCTTGTTTTGTTTTGCTTTGTTTTTGTTAGCTACCTTTCCCCTCGATCTCATAAAAACTCGGCTCCAAATGCAAGGAGAAGCTGCCCTTGCTCGGCTGGGAGACAGTGCAGGAGAAGCTACTCCCTATAGGGGCATGGTACGCACAGCCTTGGGGATTGTTCAAGAGGAAGGCTTTCTCAAGCTTTGGCAAGGAGTGACACCCGCCATTTACAGACACGTAGGTATTTATCTTGATTCTGGCTGGTAAGTTTATGATTTCTGTGTTTGTGCACTCTGCTTTCTGTTGAGCTATACCCAAAAACCAGTTAGCTTTTTCTACTAATGTGATAAATAAATATATAGTCTCTTAAGAAGAAAAAAATAACTACCAATGATTAGAAGTGCATATAGAATTTTTTTAGGGATAAATGGTCATAATGTCTATAATAAACTTTAAAATAATTAAGCAAAAAAAATGAAGCAAATATGGCAAAATTTTAGGAATTAATTAGATATTGATGGAGTTATATACTGTTTTTCCTACTCTGTAAATTTCAAAATTTTCCTAATAATTTTTTCAAGTTTAAGAAAGAAAATATGCATAGTTGACATTTTCTCCACTTCAGAAACTTTAAACACAAAGTTAAAAGTTGTTTTGTTCATTGAAAATTAAAATATATTTGACCACAATGCCAAACCTCACCAGTCTCTGTCCCATATGTTAGAAACCAGGCTGTTGTGAAAGAGAAAGCAAGCGTGGCCATCTGGTACAACTCGGGTGGGAGAATATGTGGAAAGCAGGGGCTTCTTCCTCAGTTCTGCAGACTACCTAACCAGCTGTGTGAGCCTTTGGTCACGCTTAAAGGAAAATAGCCATAGGTATACTACAGCCAATGAGAACACTTTTCTGCTTTGCTTCCCAAGTGGTACAAACATAGGAGTGGTTCGGTTTTCAGCTTGTGGACAGAAGAACATAAACTTGGCTTCAAAAGGTGGTAGGATAGGTGTGGCATTTTTCTCTGTTCACAATGTTTCCTCACCTCTGAAGGGACCTTTTATCAGAGAACTGCCCAGTAGTAACTACCATCTTATTATTTTTAAAGCTTCGGTTCTTCAGATGAATAAATTAGAGTTTATTCATGAACAATCCAGCAGTGTACAAAAAGACTGTTATTGTTTTGGTACTTTGTATATTTTTTAACATCTTGAAATATGTCATCACACTTCCTGAAAAATCAAGAAAAAATCTCTATGTGGATATCATGTACTGATTTTAATGATTTTTATTTTCCATCCTTTTTTAATACTCTCTCCTTTGTTTTCCATTATTGTCTTGAATTTCATTTATTTTTATTTGTGTTTGTTGACTACCATATATGGTTTTACATTGCAGCGTAATTTCATATGTTTGACATTTGACTGAAAAATCCCTGTGCTATGATAAATTATCCAATGAAGTCATACATGTTTATGAATGAAAATGCCTGCAGTGTACCAGGCTCTGTAGTAGGGCATACAGAGTAATGAAAACCTACCTTGAAAACTTCGTGCGTGATCTTATGAAAAGATGAGCAAGAAAATCAAGTTACTCTCTGGTCAATATGACAAATGCCATATTAGTTGTGTCCCTATGTAGTTCTGTGGGGACTGAGTGGAAGCATAACAGGTGCGAAGACAGCCTGACACACACTGGAGAAAAGGTCAGGAAAAGCAGTCTCTGGAAAAGCAGTTCTCTGAGTCGAATTCTGAAGAGTAGGAGAAGTTAGCAAAACAGAGAAGGGAGACTCCATTCGAGAAAGATCAGGCAGCGTGTGAGGAGGCCTGAGGCTGAAGGAGGCATCCCACATGTGCAGGAACATGAAGAAGTCCGTGTGTCAGAAGCACAGGCTGCATGAGACAAAGGCACAGCTAGAGAGAGCGACTAGGCCAGGTCAGAATGTCCGCTTATTCGACATGCAGCTGAATTCACCTTTTTTATGGTCTCTTTTACACAGTGTACTCTGGAGGTCGAATGGTCACATACGAACATCTCCGCGAAGTTGTGTTTGGCAAAAGTGAAGATAAACATTATCCCCTTTGGTAAATTTTTGTTTTGAAAATAGTATACTGTTGCTCCTAAGGCTTTAATGTTTTATCCATTGAATTTAAATAAAATCATGCATTTGTATGAAAATTGCCTCAAGTTGCAGGCTTAAAATAATAAGTATATACAATATAAATCCAAATAATTGAGCATTCATTGCACATTGTATACAAATATTTATATGTATGTAAAAATTGTGTATATATATTATTTAATATTTTAATGTTTAAAATTTGTTATAGAGCACCTTCCGTATTCCATTTTCCACTGAGAAATCCTGGGCTTTAGAATAAGACAGGGATGGACTCAAATTCCTACTCTGCCAATATGTAACCTGGGCAGACTTCTCCACCTTTTATATCTTCAGTTTTCCCAGCTGTGGAAGTAATACCTACCATCATACTTTAGTTTTCATAGGATTAGAAGAGATGATGATTGAAATTCCTATCACTTATAATATTTATAGCAGAAACAGAGAAATAGTGGTTATTATTAGTAATATACATAAAACTACAAGTTAACAAAATATATAAAGAATACTAGTAAAAATAGAGAAAGAACAGCAACAGACAATTCACAGAAGAGATATAAATGTTCACTAAATATTTTTAAATGTTCAACTTACAGGTAATCAGAGAAATTAATTAAAACTGTCTTTTAGCCATCGAACTGTTAATGAGAGTGTAAGTTACTTTTTGGAGCATAAATTACCTGTTAAAATTCTTAGATGTGTAATCCTTTGACTCAGCAACTCTTTCTTTATGATCGTAATTACTACAGAATCCTTGGACCTGTACATAAATTCACACACAGATATCAAATGTAGCAGTGTTGATAAGAGTAATTTTTTAAAATTGGAATAACTAATAACTTGGAAGTAGATAAATTGTGATATAGTTATACAGGGAAACATAACACAGCTTTAAAAGGGTGAGGTAGGTTTTACATGACCTATAAAGATGTTCAAAATATCTTTTCTGGGATAAAAAATAAATTCAAGTCACAGCTACAAGAAAAGGACAATAAACAGAATTTCACCTTCTAGGCAAAATCTCTTGGCCTTGTTTTTGAAGAATTATAATGTACTAAGCTATACTAATTGCTTTCCCAGACGTAGTGATTTTCTAATTCTCTCCACAAGAGGAAAGATAGGTAAGAGGTTCAGAGGAAATGCTTTCCCATGAAGCCAACTCTCAGGGTGCATTGGTATGATGTCCTTTGACAATTAATTCAGTCATTAGATATTTATGCCAGTCTTGAACTTGATACTGAGGTTGTAGCAATGAAAATGATATATCCCTGCCATCACATCATGGTAATAAGAAACAGATGTCTAAACAAGTAGAATTATGTAACAGTTATAGAGAGGTAATGGCAATGAGACTCGTAAAGGAAAAAAACAATGATCTACTCTGCTCATCGCTGTGAGGAGAAATGGCACTCTGATAGGCTGTCTGTGGGAATGGAAGTGGATACAAGTTCTGTAGAAAGCAGTCTGGCAAGATCCATCAAATGTCATGTACATGTGCAGATTTCTTTGTGAAAATTTATGCTGGTTATATGAATTTTGGAATACCCATAAAACAGCTGTCTTATGGACTGACAGGGATAATCTTGCAGATGCACTATCAGGAAAAAAGTAAACGTGCAAAACAGTCTGCAGCCTGGCGTTCTACACGTATGTTTGTGTGGGCACTAACTATAACTTAGGGCATGAGACTGGGCTCTGCCCTCTGTGGACGCCCGTCTTGGCTCTGCCGCTCACTCACTGGTTGTGCGATTGGAGCTGCCATTTCACTGCTTTGTACCTCGGTTTCTTCATCTGTAAAGAGGCAATAACAGTAGCACTAATGTCATAGAGTTCATTAGATATTTTTTAAAGGCTTAAAACAGTGCCCGCCATAGTGAACATTCAGTGAATGTATAATTATTGTCTCTAGAAAGGCCTGAGAAATGAGACTAACTGAGACTAAGACCCACTGTCACTGTGTGCTCATTTGACCTCTTTAAATAGCAGAGTAAAAGGAAAGAAAGTAGCCTTATTCCCCCAAGATGCTATTGCAATAATCTAGAAAAAAGGTGTTTGGAGCCTGGACTGAGACTCCAGCAGCTGGAATGAGGATAAGAGGACAGATTCAAAGCATGTGGTAGTGTAACGTTCAAGACTTGATCGCTGCTGATGCTGAGGGCTGGGGGGCGGTGAGGGGAAGGAAGAGTCTAGGGACACAAAGAGATTCTTCACTGAGCGAAAAGCTTTCAAGCCCTCCTACGTTTGGGAAACTAATAATACAGAAGTTTATAAAATGCGACTTAGCAGCCGTTGTTATACCAGTTGCACTTATGCTGCTTTTATTCTCCTATGATCAGAATTAAACTTCAGTTAGATTATCAGTTCAAATGTTTGTATCTCTGAAGCAACTGCCCTTCCTATGAATTTCAGGCCATGTAAGGCCTCTGAAACTTCAGATTTGAATTTCAACTCCCTGTGGTACTTCAGTCTTTCTATCTGTAAACAGACAAACCGCCTGCTTTCCTCTGATTTGTAGATCTATTCCTCACTTTGTCTTAAATCTTATGTAGGGGCTGTGCCAGCATGGTATTGTTCATTGCAAATTTGTGAAATTAATTATAGACTTTAAAAATATATCTCCTTTTATAATTAGGAAATCAGTGATTGGAGGGATGATGGCTGGTGTGGTTGGCCAGTTCTTAGCCAACCCAACTGATCTAGTGAAGGTTCAGATGCAGATGGAAGGAAAAAGGAAACTGGAAGGAAAACCACTGCGGTAAGTTCTCCTATTCACTGATAACCTTTCTTCTCCCCTTTGCCACCACTGTATTTTGAACATTTACCTTTTGTGTATTTTGTAATACGCAAAAATGCATATTACAAAAATACACATTTTTGTAATTGAACTCTCAGTAAAGACATTAGTTCCAACTTTTAATTTGTAGGTTGTATCCATTAAGAGAAGAGCTGAGATGGATCTTTTCTTTACATGATAAGGTGTATGTCTTCTCTACCAGACAAATTATACATGTATTGCTTTTCCCAGCTAAGGCAGCTTGATATAAAGAGTTTGATCATTAAAATTTGCCCTGGTGTGAATCCCAGTTTTGCCATCACAGCTTGGTGTTGTGAAAGTCACTTAACATTTTTCTTCTCAGTTTCTTTGTGTTACAAGGGGCCATCTCAAAAGGTTTGCATGACAGACTGCCTGGCTGATAAGGTGCCAGAAGCTTGGGTTCCTTCCCTTTCTCTCTGAGCTAAGGGAAATAGCAAAGTTGACCTTGCAAATGGCTTCCCTTTCTAATTCTGCTCCTCCTCTTTTTTTTAAGGTTTTATTTATTTTTAGAGAGAAGGGAGGGAGAAAGAGAGTGAGAGAAACATCAATCAGTTGCCTCTGCCGGTGCCCCCAACAGGGGACCTGGCCTGAATCCTAGGCATGTGCCCTGATACAAAATGGAATCCAGGACCTTTCAGTCTGCAGCAGGATGCTCAGCCCACTGAACCATAGCAGTCAGGGCCTGCTCCTCTTCTTTTTACCAAGTTTAAGGAAGTTTTAAATTTATGCCTTTGTGATGTAAAATCCTCCTATTGCATTACCCCATATTATCCAAGTTTTCCTTTCTTCCAAGGGCTTCAAGTTCAACAGTTCATAAACATACTACTTACTAGTTTCCTCCAGGAAAGTGGCAAAAAACTTGCAAGCTAAATGTGGAGCCAGGAAAGAGGAAAAGTGCAGGATGCCTTGAGCTGAGTATGAAGGGGTCTAATCCTCTGAAGAGTGCAGGTCTGTGGCTGAGCCAGAGCTGAAGGAGGGCTTGGTGCCCCCTTTGGGAGTTCCCCACTGACCACTGCTCTTCCCTCCCCTGCTCCCTAGCTGACTCGGGAAATGCGCCACAGAGGAGAAAAGGGAACTACTTTGATTTAACCAAGTAGTTTGCAGGGCCCCAGGGCCTATTTTGTCATCTGGTGACAATACCTAATCACTCAGTAGCAGGGAGAAGTGCTGTGGCCTTCACTGGATACATGGAGAGAACTTACTGGTGGGATCCAGAAATATCTGCGTTTTTAACTGACTGCCTCCTTTTATCCCCTCTCTTGTCTTTAATGTTGGAACTTTTAATTTAAAAAAAAACATTGAATGTTGTTGTAAAGAACACGAACCTTGGGATCAGGCAACCTGTGATTCAGATCCAGCCTTTACCACATTTTCATTCTGTGACCCTAGTCAGTCCCCTAACCTTTCTAAGCCTCAGATTCCTCAGATGTAAATTCTTCAGTCTATGAAATGTGAATGATAATGCACACTTCATAGAGTTTTCAGAAATAAAGCGTACTCGGTGTATGTAAAAAAGCCTGACGCTTAATAAGTGCACAATAAATTTTAGCTACCTTAACCATTCATGAGCATAGAGCCCCGTGGAGCATAACAGCAATGACTCGTGCCTAGTAAACAGGGCATCCATCTTTTTGGTGAAACAGAGTATAAGGCTGAGGAAAAGCCACACAGCTAACAAGTGGTAAAGGTAGCATTTGACTCCAAGTATTAATAAGTATATAAAATTCAAACTTCTATTTTATACTAGAGATTTTCAGATTTGGTTCATGGCTCAGTACCATTTTTTAATCTCTATATAGAAAAATAAGCAAAATAAGAATAAAATAGTAAATTTTGATAAAGTGAAAATTACTCAGTTTTAAAACCTCTTATGATGAGGGTGTGCTTCCTACTTTTTGGCCTAAAACTATAATTTCTTTTTTGAGATTATATGAGAACCAATTTTTTAAAGTTATTTGGTGAAATTACAAAATTTGCAAGTCTCCCACAAAGTAGTAAAATGAACCCAGAGATATGATAACTACTGTTGCCTCCTGTAAATATCATGTGCACTAATTATATCAAATATCAAGAATTTTAATTTGTTCAAAAATCTGACTAGAGGATGACACAGTTTATAAAGATTTCCATTAAAAATGCTTCATTAAATGTTGACTTTGTTTTACTCAAGCGTTATTAAATTTATCTGGAGAATAGACTTACACGGATTGCTTTAATTTCTAACAATTCCAGATAATTCAGGTGTTATTTTACTCTGAATCATAACAGCTATAGGCAGTGCTTATCCAGTTGCATTCTCTATAAAGGAATGTGTACAGTTTTTACATTTTTTATGATTTTTCCTTAGATTTCGTGGTGTGCATCATGCATTTGCGAAAATCCTAGCTGAGGGAGGAATACGTGGGCTTTGGGCAGGCTGGCTACCCAATATACAAAGAGCGGCACTGGTCAATATGGGAGGTAATGGACACGCCATTGAAATCAGTTGCCTTAATCGTATAACCACTCGCTTCAGGGAAAATGAAAAACATTATTATTTTACTAATATGTATGGGCCACAGTCTTTTATGTTGTAATATCATAACTAACTATTTCCCTGGAGCATTTTCACTTTTTTGTACGGTGATGTGTAAAAAGGATTTTGAAAAATAAGCAGATCATGACAATAAAGATATAAGACCAAGTTATTTCTAAGGTTTCCTCTGCCCCACACTTGTCTCTAAGATTCAGAAGACATTCATTTTGAATAAGTAAATACCTAAGCCTTCTTTTTCTTTCTATGGCCAGATTTAACCACATATGATACAGTGAAACACTACTTGGTACTGAATACACCCCTGGAGGACAACATCATGACTCATGGTTTATCTAGGTAAGTGATTGTTTTAGTTTTAGATGCTATTGTTTTCTTTAAAAAAATAATAAAATGGGTAAGACAAGACAAAGTCATCAAATATTTCAGATTAAACCTCCCCAAATATTTGCACCTTGATGGGGCTCTTCTGGGATTAGATTCTGATGAGTGACTCTCCAAATCATTTGAGCAGGTATGTTTGAGCACCTTTTATGTTAAAAGCACTGTGTACAAAAGGTAAGCTCAGCTCCGTCCTAGGAAGTTTACCAAGGCAGAAAACAAGACAAGTATAAAAACACTACCGTAAATGCTAAAAGAAAGTGACTAATTACTGCAGAGTTCAGAGGAAGGAGAAAAAATAACCCCTTGGAAGGCCTGACAAAAGAGATAGAATTAGATATGTGTCTTGCAGGGCTATGGCTCTTGACAGAGACAGGGAGAAGAGCATTCCAGGAAGGGGTACTACATGCCTTAATCTCTGCAACATAATTTCAAATCCCCACTAGAGTGAGTTAGTTTATAGATGTTTAGTGTCCTGAACATTATAGTGATTTTATTTAGCTTCTGATCTTGTTTCCAAATTCTAGAACACTTCTTGCTATTGAGACAGCCCCAAAAGTATATTAACAGTTTCAAACCAATTATAAATATATATATATATATATATATATATATACACACACACATACATAAATATAATGACCCATTCGTGTATATATATATATATATATGATTCATAATTCAGGTTCACCTTAACAGAATATTTCAAGAGTAGTATTTCTTCATTCCTCTCCTTTAAAGATAAGTGTTATCTTTAGTGTTGCTGGGCAATCTTTTTATATATCTTTGTCCACTGTTCTGTCCCATTCCAAACTCTCACCCAGGTGTGTGCATTCACAATCTACATATACCATACCTTCTATGGCAATAGTCTGCTCCTCTTTCACAGAAAACAGGATTTTTCAGGCCCTTCCACTTTGACATCCATCTCCGTAAACATTTGTATTCTATCTGTAGTCGCCCTGACTTTATTTATTTCTTCCACTGTCTTTGTACATGCTGTTCCCTCTTCACCAGTTTCTACCTAGTCAAGTCTTGTGAGACTTGTCTTTCAAGATGCAGGTCTGAACCAGTGTTATGCTGTGCTCTGGGAACAGATTGTTCAGGTCTATGTGGAAGTTCCACAGTGACATTATCTCTCTTTCTTTTACGTTACCTTTCTACCCAAATGGTCTTTGAAGTTCCACACTTCTAACCTAAGATTCATGGGTTTCCCAGCAGGAGTAAATCCACTTAATGTACACTACTCCCCACAGATGTGTCTTTTATTGGAGAGACTTAAGATTTCCAGCTGTATATATTCCAGCCCTAATCGAAATAACTTAGCTTTATTCTTGTGTAATTCAGGTTTTGAGAAAATGGGATGATTGGTATCTGATTCATTTTTGAGCTCCACCGACTGGATCAGGTTTTAAATGGGCTGGTGTGAGTCTGTGTGGTATGTGAGGCAGCTCCACAGTTGCCTGCTGTGAACTCACATCTAAGTAGGTGCACGTGCTCTGTGCTCTGAAGGTTCTGTGTGCTGTGTGGTAGGATAACATCAGTGCTCACAGAGGCTACAAGGGCACTGCAGCTCTGCAGCCAGAAAGCGCCATACATGCCATCAACACCTGACGGAAAAGGAGTTTAATGTGAAGAAGAATAAGGATGGTGTAAACACTGCATTTGGCGTATGCACTCAAACATGGTGAAAATGGTAAATTGTATGTTAGGTATATGTTAGCATAACTTTTTAAAATGGTGTAAGTAAAATGAAGTCCTGGGGTAGGGCAGGAGCAGTGGACTACTGTGGCCAGGGTTTCAGTGAGGTGGGAAGGCAGGGGACAAGGCATGTTAGTAGGGCGTGCAGGGGAAAGATGGGGAGTTGAATTAACAGGAAATTGTATGGAACAGAAAGACCAGGATAATCTTTTATATTTTTGTAAAATCATGAGATTGTTAAAAAGTAAAACTGAAAAAGTCAGTCCCCAGTGTGTGACGATTATACGTGAGCATAGTTATGCAGTCGATCCCGAGAACAGTTGATCCTGACTCAGTGCTGATGGAACGTAGTGAACTAGTCTTGTGGATCACCACTCGTCTCCCGCAGAAAACAGAGCACTGGCCCGTTCACTCTGTCCATTATCACTATGGTTTTGCCCTGGGCGGAGGACAGGCGTATGTTAAGTATGAAGATAAGTATGAGGATTCCTAGTGCAGCTTCAACTTCCCTACAGCAGAGCTCTGAGACTTCAGATTTCATTGATCCTTACCTTTGTCACTGTTCCTTCCAGCTTTTCATTAGCCAAGCGTCAGCTTTTCCTCAGGCTCCCATGATTCCAGTCTGTCTCGGGACTCAGCTGCCCACTTCTGGGGGTTGAGCGAGCTGTTGTCTGTGACCAGGTTGACCACCCGTCTTCTCGTGCTGTCCTCTTGGCAGCCTGATGTGGTTAATGAGTGTTCCGCTTATGAAATCTTGATTATGTTTCTGTGTTGTCGCTCTCGTGTCTGTCCACATAACGAATTGCTGCTAGTGGTTTCTTAACATTTCAGTCACTCATTTACAACTCTCAATTTATTGTGCAGTGCAGTAGGTTGACCACATCTCTTTTGTCTCTTGAGTGACGAGAAGCCTCTTATAAGAAGGTGAGACAGGGATAAGCAGACCTTGTGCCTCAGCATAAATTGAAGGAAAAACCAGCATTTTCCAATTTTGTGGGGTGCAGGGCATTCTAAATGAAAGAATTAAAGGCATGGAGATAGTGGATAGTGTGGTAGGTACAGAGCATTACACTTGGTTATATTGTTAGAGCATAATGGGCAGGGAATAAATACCTAGGATAAAATCAGACTCCTTCCGTAGCCTTCATGGGCCGAGCTCCGCCTGTGTCTTTTGTCTTTCACCTGGCGGGACTCCCCTTCAGGATGCTCCAGCCGCTTAGGCTGCTTTCTGCCGCTCAAACACACCAAGACCATTCCCGGCTCAGGCTTTTACTGTGCAATTCCTTCTGCCTGCAGCACTCTTCCTCCAGGTCTTCACACAGGCCCCTCCTTCTCTGCTGTCACCCAGTTACCATTGTATTTTTTTCATAGCATTTGTCAGCACCTGAAATTGTTCATTTCTCCTCCGCTGCCCCCCAAGTAGAGTGTTAAGTGCCCAGAGGGCAGGATCTTACCTGTCTTGTTCACGGTCCAGAAGAGTACCTACCTCCACTAGGTGTTCAGTGTTCAGTCGACTGATGCTTTTTTGTTCTACCTCTTTAATGAATTTAGCATTGATTTTAAGCTAAAAGCATTATCATGAACAATATTAAAGTAATTTATTTAGTATTCTATTCTTTCTAAATATTAAATTCCCTTTCCTTAAAACTTAGAAACTGCTACATATTATCATTCAACTTCATTTATTTATATTTATAGTTTATGTTCTGGACTGGTAGCTTCTATTCTGGGAACACCAGCTGATGTCATCAAAAGCCGAATAATGAATCAACCACGAGATAAGCAAGGAAGGTAGAAAGTCTCCAGTATCCATGTGTCTGAATGTCTGTAATAGCATGGTTCTTTAAAGATGTGTCCCTTGTTTATTCTTGATAGAAATGTATTTGTGTTTATGTGTTTAACTAGGAAATTGTTTTTATGCAACTACTTGCTCTTTGATGAAAAAGTTCTGTGCGTTGGGGAAATAAGCTGATTTAACAATCATGTTATTTAGACACAAGATATTTATTGTGACTTTATTGTTTTCAAGGAGGTTTTGAAAACATACTCTGCTGAGAATTTACAGAGTACTTTCTTCAGAAGCTTATGACTTGCAGGTACCATGGAGAATTTGATTTGACATAAAACAGTATGTTTTCTCTGGAAGAGATCAGGTAGAGTGAATTCTAAGTGTAAGACCAAGGGTGGGATGAATCTGAAGAGTCACCTGGAAAATATCTTTAAACTTAAAAGAGGTGATCTACATACAGCAAGTCCTCAAATGATGTCATTCCATTCAATGCTGTTTCCGTACAACATTGAATCAGGTGCCATAGGAATTTCACTCTTATTTCTGTCCACCAGCTTGTGGTAAATTGGTTTTGTTATGCATCATTTTGCTTGAAATCACAGAACCTATTGCTGACATCAAGTGAGGACTTACTATATATAGAACCAAAAATATTATTTGTTTTAAACTAGCAGAAAATATTTAACTTACAGTAAGTTTCCTCAGGCTCTATTTTAATTTACACAACACACGTATTTACACAAAAGAAATGTAATAAAATTGTCTTGTTTCCTTTTCAGGGGACTTTTGTATAAATCATCTACCGACTGCTTGGTTCAGGCCGTTCAAGGGGAAGGATTCATGAGTCTCTATAAAGGCTTTTTACCATCTTGGCTGAGAATGGTAAAGTTAGGCCTTTCCTTCCTTTGTTTTGTTTCTTTGTTTCTTTTCTTTGTGCTTAAATTACTTTCAGTCTGTAAATAGTCCCCCTTCTCTCTCTGGTTTTTGGCATGGCCCTGCCTCCAAAACACAGTTTGTTCTTTTTTATATTTCTTTTTGTTTTATTTAACTTCTCAGAGTTCTATTATCTTCTTCAGTAAAATAAAATAATTCGGTTGCATCCAGAAACTAATATTGTTGGTATAAAGCCAGAGGATAGATTCTTCTGCTATGTAAAGCCTTTAGTACTCTATTTAGCCAAAATACTATAGTTTTAGACAGGTATAATGATGTAATACTAGAGATCACTTCTATGAAAATGCTACTGTTGCAAAAAAAAATTGTCACTTTGATGGCAAATGTTGCATTACCCATTCATCTTATTACCACAAAGCTCTGCTCAGTAAGAAAGCATTGTGTCATGTTTATTTGGTTTAGAGGTTATTTTTTACTGAAGTAAACCAATATGTAGAAGTAGATAGACTTATTTAAGAAACATAAAAATATAATAAAAACAAAGTACTCCTATATTTTGTAAGTTAAAAAATATTTGAAAGAATGGGTGAGTTGTGGGTTTAAATTCACAGAAGCAGTTCTTCACATGATATAATATTAATTGAGTGCCTGCTCCAGGCGAAGCCCTGTACCCTGCGCTTTGGGATGAACAGAAGAGTCTCAGCCCCTGCCCTCTTGCTGGAGCTTTTTATTGAGTAGGAAACTAGAAGTGGTGAGTGGTAGGTAAAAGTGCATGGTGCTGCGGTAATATATGCCAAGTAAGTATAGCTTAGGCTGAAAGATGAAGAAAACCTCCTTGGAGAATGGACTTTTGAATTGAGAGCTGAGAAATGAGTAGTACTTAGTGTAGTGAAAAGGGCAGAAAGGAACGTTCTAGGTAGAGGGAATAGTCGGAGCGGACAGAGAACATGAATGAAAACAAGCAGGCCAAGTCCCAGAGACATGGAAGATGGTGATAGAGGGCGAGACCAGAGAAAGGCTGGGACCGGCCTGGGAAAGGTCACTCTTACAGAAGGATCTGTAAGAGTGATGGACACCACCTGGATGGTATGTGCATTTTTAGAAAGATCCTTCTGGCTGCCATGTGGTTATGGAAAAGTCTGGGATGGTGATAGATGAAAGATAGTGAAAGCTTGGACTAGATTCTAACAGTGGGGACAAAAGGAGGTAGATTCTAAAGGAGGTAGTTTTAGATTCTAAAACTATCTAGGTGATAGAATTGTGACCGGATGGGTGGAGAAATGATTGGAGAAGACAAAGAGAAGCTGGGTCTCATTTCCAGACTTTTGCCCTGAGTAACAGATAACGTAATCTCCTTAAATGGGAATCTTTTGTAGGGAAGAAGATATTGTGGCAGAATAACAAGCTTAGTTTTAGATAGGTTAAGTTTTGGATGCTTGTAAGACATCTAAGAAAAGGTATCTAAATGATTAACTTTACACATTGGTCCAGGTCTTAGAGACAATACAGGGATGGAGATTTAGAATTGCCCACCATCCACGTACATATAGATGGTCATTGAAGCTTTGAGAATAAATGAGGTCACCAAGGGATAGTAGATATCTATCCATTAACAGGAAATAAATTGCCAAAGCTCTACCCAAGTTGTAAAACATTATTTTGACTGTCAGAATTATACCTTGAAATTATCTTAAATCTGGATATTTCTTACTGGAAAGGAAGATTTTGGTTTGGTCTGCCTGAACCAGGCACTATTATAAGTGCTGGTAACACTAAGGAATAAGATGTTTATTTTTTGCACTAGAGGAGCTTATAATGTGATGGAGAAGATAGACATGTAAGTATTAAAATTACAGAAATAGTAAAGCTAATATTATCAATCACTTTGTATGTGGCCAACACTGTGCTAATCATTTTTGTGGCTTACCTCATGGAATTCTCCTAACAGTCTAGTTAGTAGGTTGCTGTCATCTCTGTCTTTTATAGAGGAGGAAACAAGAATCTAAAGAATCTAGTGAACTTGGCCAGGGTGGGTGGCAAACCAGTGCAGGCAGGGTGTCAAAGCCGTGAGCCCCTCCAGAGGACACAGTCTTGGTAAGGAGGTTATATTAGTGCTTCGCCAGTGGTGTGAACAGAACACTGGGGGGAGCGTGAATGATGGATTAAAATGGCTTTAACTGTTTAACTGCCATAAAAAGGCATCACAGAGGTGATACCTGGTCTAGCTTTGAAGGATCAGTAGGCATTTTTTAAGAAAAGCGTGAGGGAGCAGTGTGAACATGGGCTCAAGCCACATGTGGACCTGGTGGTGGAGAACTGCAGGGAACTCAGAGTGGCTGGGGAGCCAGTCCTCAGCGGGGAGTATCAGGAGGGAGGTCTGGGGAAGTACACAACGGCTCGGCTGAGAAGGACCTCATCGGCCAAGTTTTATAGTTTAGGTATCACCCTATAGTTAGCAAGCAGCTCCTTAAACTTGGGAACAATGTGCTAAGATTTATTTGGGGGCAAGATTTCTTTGGCAACAAAGGTGGTTTTGACAGTACAGCCAGCAGATGATTGTAGAAATAGGAAAGAATACACATTCTAGGAACATTTATGGTTAACTCCACAGGGCTTAGTAACTGATTCGAGGGTAGGAAAGAGGGACTGGTACCTTCAGGTTCTAGTGTGGGGGACTATGAGGATGGGTGAGACCGCTGGTGAAAAACAAAATCAGGGTTGGGAGAGTGAGGGGCAAGAGAACATCCAAGGACAAAATACTGAGACTATATATAACACACACAAAAATGAATACTTAATATGAAACAACCTCCCAGCTAAGCTGTTTGTACATGTTAACTTTTAAAATCTTATGAGAATCTGGTAAAACAGGTGGTGTTATCCTTACTTTTCAGATGAGGCAACTGAGGCAACTGTGGCTCAAAGTATAAGAAACTCAAGTTCATGTAGCTAGTATGTGGCAGAGCTAGGAACTGACTACAGATCTGTTCAACTCTAGACCCATGCTGTTAAATAAGGCCCTGTCCTGAGTGTCTGAAAGTCCCACAGCTGGTGATAGAAATTTTAAAAGGAAAGAGAAAGTGTGTAGTGGTAGAGAAGTGTTAACCACAGAAAGTCTGGCTAACCACCAAAGATCACCAGGGTGACGTCGCCTTGGTGATTTGCTGCAGTGAATGACCCTGACCTTGGAAACCTGACCATTGAGTACTTCTCAGAAAACTGGCCTTGCAAATACAGATTCACTTCAGCTGAATTTATTGCAGTTGACAAGCAAACTGCAGTGTCACCTCAGTCACATTGAGAAATGCACTTGACAAGTGATTCAGTTGCTGAAGTTCTCTGGACAGCGTGCTTCCTCCTAAATTCAAGCTATACGGGGAGCCATGTCATAATCAAAGATTGCTGAACACAGAATAATAACAAGGAAGAGCTATTTATAAACTTAAGAATATCAACCCAAGAGTCCTTATATGTCTGGTTCCACAGTAATCGACATGGAGAAGGACTCTGCTGTTTTCTCAAGCACTATGGCAATAGGTAGGCCAGAGAAGAAAACATGGGTTCATATACACTTGGGTTATTTTCAGTGGTACCCCTGTGCCCGTGAGGAAAACTAGTAGATATGCGCTACCACATACACTCCTGCACAGGGGCTCAGTGTGTCCCATTTACACACTACCCATGTTTGGGGCTGTGCGGTCTCCCTCTTTAACTTCTACTCAAAGCCAGTTCCAACCCTTTCCACTAGGTAGAGGCAGTATGACCTTGCTTTGCCCAATGACTGATTTATATACATTTCATTTGCTTATTATGTGGTTACTGTGTTGCTATTGTGAGGAAGAAGTCTACTTACTAGAGCAAGAAGGAATTATCACATAGTCCATTCTTAACTAAGACCTCAGCTGCTTCATCTGACTACAGTTATGTTCTTGGTTCACTTCATTGTTATTGTCACAACAATATGATATCATCACAGCTTCACATTCTTTATTTTGTCTGTGTCTTCATACATTTAACTGACCCAGATGTGGTCTCATAAATCTACTATTTAGTAAATAAATTCTCAGTCTACCAATATAACATGCTTAATATTTCCAAACACATTGCCATATACATTGCTTTACAAACTCTCTAACCAAATACACTTTATATTATAATTGCTTAAGCTTATTTCTCTAATTTGATAGTGTTTTTCTCTGACCAGCATTATCCTTCACTTCTGAACCAAATCAGACAGGAATTGGATCCAAGATACCCTTTTTCACAATGGTTACTTCCAATGTTTACACTGTGATTTCCCTATGTCTTTAACATTTATATCTTCTATTGTCAAATAACCCTCATCCCCTTATAGATAATTTCCTTTGGCATAGTTATAACTTAATTCACATTAGTCAAATCTTTCTGAGCTGGACGCTCTTCTTTATTTAGTGTGAGCCTTTATACTGATCACTAGGTGTAGGTTTTGTGACCTAACTCTCAGAAGATACTCTTTCATCTTCACTGTCAACTCAAGTGCCTCCTGCCACGCTTCGCCTACAAACTGCGGGTAGAGGAGCCCAGCCTGGGACCGAGGGTGCTGGGTCCGAGCCTTTTAGGCAGCAACGCTCGGTAAACAGCACTCTGGGGTGCAGGCCAGAAGCCTGCGGCCTAGACCTACAACGTGCTATCATGCATCTGATTGCTAAGCTTGGGTGTCCTCATCTGTAAAAAAAGGGATATCCACTGTAGATTGTTCAGAGAAAATACAGGACCTGAAAATGTTCTGTGAGAAATATACCACATGAAAATGCTTTGTAAGTTATAAACTGCTTTACAAACGTGAAATACCAAAATATTTATTTTCAGCGTAGGTGGATTCAAAATGACATTCAAAAATTTGTATGCATATATGTAGAATATTTATAATTCTTGGAAATATGCACTAACTTCTTTGGTTAATCTTTCAGACCCCTTGGTCACTGGTGTTCTGGCTTACTTATGAAAAAATCAGAGAAATGAGTGGAGTCAGTCCATTTTAAGCCCTTAAAGATACAGTGTTCGGTATCATTGAAATTTGGGCATCTGCAACACACCCCCCTATTATTTCTACCTCTTTAGGAAGACACCTTACTCTTCAGTGACTGTGATTTATAGGGGGCGGCACTTTATTTTTCTCTGGAAACTCAAGTTCTCTTTGACTCCTCTTTATGCTCAAGAGTATTCTGATTGGATCACACTGGCCACCCAATGAGACCCAGCAGGGCACTTTCTGAAGAAGAATGCAATCCTGACCACTTACCTTGGGAGCTCTGACTTCTGAGATGTTATTCTGTGCTGAAGAGCCTGCTTAGAGAAGTGCCAAGAGGGAGACGGCATTTCAGACCTGAAGTAGACAATAGGAATGGGGAAGGATGTGTACATACAGAGCGATTAAGAAATATATTTAATCCGTTATGTCAGTGTTTCCAATTTACATTTGATAACTCACTTTTCTGTTGTTGTCCAAGTGAAAACACTATAAATTAAAGGGAGGCTAATGAAAATTCATGAATAAACACTTTGAATTTCCCTAGTGTTGAAGGAAGTTAATGTACCATTTCTTGCCAGAAGATGAAACAACTCAAGTTGGTACGATGTTTGGATTTGAAGGAGAGAAGCTGCCTTCTGCCAGTGCCCTGTTTTCAGTTCCATCTGTGGTAACTGGCCGGCACTCCACCCCCATGCTAAGGACTTGCTGACAGCAACAGACTCTGGATCTTGGTGAAAACGGAGTACTTTGTTACACATCCCATTACAAGTTGGATTTGTTTCTCAAGAAACTTCAATATGTTAAAAGTCCAACTTATTTGATTGAAGTGCGGGTGGATAGTTATTTTTTATGAAGCAATTTGTTATCAAAGCCTTTTGGTGGCATTTTAAAAGCAAGGCTGTGATTAAGTCAGCCAATTCTAACATGCATCCTTTCTCCTTTCCCCTTCCTTTCCCCTTCCCTAATACTAAAGACCCTGCAAAGAGACAGAGAACTTGAAAATCCTACTGAAGCTGTCTCTAGCCTAAAACTCAGTTTGACCAAGCTTCCTGCCAAAAAGTGATAAGTATAAACCGTCTATGAAATAGTTATGTCTCCCTCCAATCCCTGAATCACATCCATTTTCTAATTTTAGAAAGAAGAGAGAGACTTCTTCAGATTCACCCAGATTCCACCTGCTCCCCCAGCATCAGACTGGGCACTCCTGGGTGCCTGGGTCTAGCTATGGGTAGAGGCTGTAACTGTCAAAATAGGAAAACTCAGAAAGCTCAGACCCAAGGAAGACCTTGAGGATGACCAAACAGTTGTTATCATGGAATGAATGCCATTGAACAGAAGAGTCTACAAGTGCTCTGTGGCTGCACTAATGCACAATCACTGCCATTTAGGGAGGAAATGTACTTCAAAATATACTTTAATGTGATGCACTAATTTGCAGTTGCTTCTTGTTTTTCTGTACAGTTTGCATGGAATCTTTAGGTGCTTTAGTTTCCCATTGCATTTGTCATTCTGTATGAATTGAGTGTTAAATACATTTAAAACAATATGTAAAGTCCCAAGTGTTCTGCATTAGAACCACTTGCGGAACTTTTGTTTGTCTGTTTTTTATGTTTTGTAATGTTTAAAATTAAGTAAAGACTGGATCAAAAGAACTATATGCAAATTTGAGCATAAAATTATTTAGCATTATTCTTGAGGGACTTCGGGGTGAAAACATTGCTTAGGTACTGAGACTTCTTGGTAACTGGATTCAGCATGAATAACTGGAATTTTTCAACCTGAAATGACTCCCTGGGATCATCTGGTTTAACTTTTGCATTTTACATGTTAGGAAATGAAGGCCCAGAGAAATAGAGATGTTTATGCTTATAAGTGACTTAGGAACAGAGCCAGGATAAAGATACACATTAATTACAACTGCCAGTTACACAGATTTTTCTTTATGGCTTTTTTTTTGCCTTACACATGTTAAATCAATTTGAATTTCTAGAATGGAGTCACCATGCTGTAGCCCGAATATGAGTACCTTCCACACTCTGACCAGTCCGTGTATTCAGCACACACATCCCACCCCATTCACGCTTTTCCAATGAACTCATGTTTATGAACGCGTTTTGGAACTTTGCTTTACCTTTACTAACTGGAAATCATCTTGCTCCTCTCCAAAGTAATTAACAGTAAATAAAAAGCAGTAACAGTTTGAGTAGTTCTGTGTCCATACCAACTTAGCCATTTCAGTCTCCCTTTCTTGTTATACTACTAGTGCACGTAGTACTTTTCTCCAGTTTAGTGTGAATAACGCTTTAACATCTGAGTTTCTTTTGCTTAACCACCACATTTTTTCTCTTCCCAAATGATTTTTGCTCATTGAAAAATATATAAATTCTTATTTTTAATTATAGTTATTTGTTCTTTGCTAGTAATGCATTAGCAGATATAGCTAAATAAAGAGATACCATTTCCTAAATTTGCTTTTAGTAAGGAATAATGTGTCTTTATCCAGTGCTCCAAATCCTATTTTATTGTGAGTGACTAGGGGTAGGACTCTGTCTTGTTTTTATGCAAATCTCTACTCATTAGGAGCAGGTTTTTGATGTTAGGTACTCAACAAAAGTTGATTACAGTTGCTACATGAGTCAATTAATTTTTTCTTCATTATTTTAAGAATCTATCATAGATGTCTGATATTTCACTTTGCTAAGAAAAAGGAAACAAAGGGAAGTTCTGTCATTTTCAAAGTTTTAAGCACAACTATTTATTAACAATTGAAATAGTTATGTAGTTAATGAAAATAGATTCCCTTACTACCTCCACTGGGGGAAAAAATGTTTGGTGCTTCCTTCAACAGCTCATTTCCTAGAGTGGAGGACTGTAGTGGAAAACAGTGTTTGATTTTAGTACATGTGGTTGAAAAGAAATAGGGGAATGAGAACATTCAATTCCCCTCTTTCCAATTAAACCAGGACTCTTTAAAATGACTACCAAACAAGTATATATTATTATTAAGTGCCAGATAATGTGGGTTCTAAAGACTTTTTATCCAATTTGGGGTTCTAATTCTGACAAAGTGTTATAACTATGATCAGTTTCCCTAATGAGCCTTGATTTCCATGTTTTGACAAGATGAAGTGACTGAACTCTAGAACCTTAAATTACTTATACTTGAAGGGGCCCATTATATTTATGCCATGTGAAAAAAAGGATTAACAATATTGGGATTTGGTTTTCCTGGATTTAATTAATTTCTCACATTTCAAGATTGGGAAAGGGTTATTCAGGCCTTAAATTATAATACAGACTCTATATGGCCAGCCCGCCTCACCCAGAGATCCACATAGTAGCAGTCATCTTCCTTCAGACAACGTGGACACACCTCCTCATACTCTTAACTTTAATTACTTCTTTATACACATAATAAAAATTAAAAGCCTTAGTACTATGTTCAAGAACCTCTTAACCTGACTTCATTTTCCTAATCTTTGCGCTTCACTGCATGCCTGCACTCGACCTCCTTTTAAATGCATTGCTCATTGGTTTCTCTGGCAGTGCTCTTGGCTGCTTTTCATGCAGTGTTCATGCTCTGCTCTTCGCCTAACTTTCCTCCCATCACCACCACCCATTCCACTCCACTTCCACTGGTTAAATCCAACCAGAACGTCTAGAACGACCTCTGAGGGCTTCGGCATCTTCAACCCACCCTCCCCCTCTTCCACTGCACACCACACATTGCGGATGCGTGACCGTATGCCTGCTTCCCCATACAGAATGAGCTGCGTACAAGCAAGGTCCTTTTGCTACATCTTTCTCTTACACAATTCAAATACAAGCCAATGAGAAGGTATTTGTTGAATTCAGAAATTTTGGGGGGTGGAGAGAGAAAAACATTTGTGCACACTGGATTGAATCATTTGTCTTCTTCTCACCTTTAGAATAATTACATTGGGTCGGTAACAATTTCTTGAGATTGTTGACCAAGTGCTTAACTGCGCTTTCCCAAGATCACATGTGTTTACGCATACGTAATTATTACTGTTTTAAAGGATGGATCAGTTTAATAGCTATTCCACAAAAATCTAAAATTTGAAAGTTTTAAATAATACAAAATGGTTAGCTGATTAGTAATTAATAAATATGTGATATGTTTATATTATTCGTTTTAGAGTGTGTATGGACACTTTATCACTACGTGGCTTTTATTGATGCGACACAAATGCGCATTTTACCCACTCAAGTGTTTTTGTATTCCTGCATTGGGAGGACTGTGATTACCTTTCTCTCCCCGTACTCTGCCCCCCGCAGGCTGCTGTGATTGTCAGCAGCAGCTGCAGGATCCACTTGGGAAGTTTGAGAAAAGCAGATGAAGATGCCAAAAGAGGCCTGTTTGCTGAAAATATCTGATAACAAACAGGAATATATGTGAGTAAGTATAGTGCATTATTCTGATTTTCAAAATAAATGTTTTAAGACACCTAACTGGCTGTTAAGGTTTCGTTTTGTCCTAGTACGTGGTTTTTAGTCTGGTGCACTGTTCAGTTAAAATAATAACAAATTTAGCGATGACTTTTACACCTTAATCTTTATTTTTCACAAGTAAAAAAGAAACTGGCTTGCCATGACTGGGCGGCTCGGTTGCTGGGAGCTTCTTTCCATACACCAAGAGTTGAGGGTTCGATTCCCAGTCAGGGCACATACCTAGGTTGCGTGTTCCCTCCCCTGATGGGGCATTCGTGTGGGAGGCAACTCATTGATGTTTCTCTCCCCCCACCACTTCCTTCTCTCCCTCTTTTTCTGTCTCCATTCCTCTCTCTCTAAAATCAATGAACATATCCTCAGGTGAGGACTTAAAAAAATTTTTTAAGAAACTGACTTAGTTTAGAATGTCATATCTGAAATGTTTGTGTTAGCACAAAGAATGCCCATTAATGTATAATAAATCCAGTTCTGCTACTAATCCGGTTTCCCTGTTAATCAATGTTTGGCTCTGACTACCAAGGAGAGATAACTATTAATTACAGTGATGGACATGCT